AAATACACAACCCACCAACAGTTGAAAGGAAAATTTTAATTCGCAACTAAAATAAAAACTAAAACTAAAAAAATAATCAAAAAATAAATGTTACATTCGTGTGTAAGTTAATTATTTTTTATACCCCAACCCTCCCTGGTATTATTTTTTAATTTATTTTTCGCGTAAATATTATTAAAATAGGAAACTTATAATAGTCTTAAATAGATATTAAGTAATGTTTAAGAAGCTTGTTACGTTTCAATATTTGTTTTCGATCTGTCTTTATGTTAAACTATTGAGGTTATGGAAGAAACGTGGTATAAAAATACTTTTTTAATAAAAACTATGTATGACGAAGGTGAAAAAAATACCATTGATGACTTATAAATACTATTAGCAGTGGCACACATACATATTATATTTTTATTACAGAACAAAGTATCTTCGGAATCTTTTTCTTCATTACGGATGTTAATGGATTTGATTTTTTGAATGAAATCTGTCCTTCACATTTTTAAGAATGACATTTCTGCCCCCTCGAGAGAGACAGGGATAGCAAGCTCTGATTTCAAAATAAGGGTTTGAAAATCATGCTTAGGCACTGTCCGAGGTTTTTGAGAAGCTAAATAATTTTCTATTTTATACCTAACTCAATAGAATATTTATATTTGCAAACTAAGTACAAAAAAATACGAAAATCATAACCGAATGAAGAAAATCTCCACACAACAACGGATTATAAAGATAAAAATAACAGTTCTGTATCACCTGTCAAAGTTAAAACTACAAAATGGCGTCGTTTCCCGCCATTCTCAATAGAATGTCATCTGCAAAGAGTTTATGAAAAAAAAAGTATTTATATACCATAGTTTTTATTGTGTAACAATTTACAATTAATTTTACTTCATGTAACGTCGGAAGCCATGATAATGGCGTAATGTACATTAAAATAATATGATATACTCAGTACCTAAGCTATAGAACAACATATGAACGTAGGGTTAATGTAATTATATAATACAATGCGAAATATATAAAATAACAATAAATATTGATGTTTCATTTTTTTATCCAATTCTTTTTACCTTGCTTAGCGTGACGTCTCTTTTTTTTTGTGAGGGGAAAATCATCAAATGGTCTCCTGCCCTTTAGTGTCAGACTCTTACGGACTAAAAACTCCCCCGTTCCTTCTCCTGCTCTGTGCCGAGGTCGCGGTGCCTCATTGCGCTTACCCCGCAACCCCGGCACGTCTCTGTTTTTTGAAATAGGATCACTTGATGGATAGCAATCGGCACCACCTATGGAGGTAATACACACCCGAAACATCAGAGGAGTCACAAGTGCATTCTGAACCTTTTTTAATTTGTTATGTTTGGGAATTTAGAGATTAGGGGCATTGAAAACGATTCGGCATTCTATTCTAACCAACCTTACAAACAACCAACCTTTCAACCTTACTCACACAATAAAACACTTGCATAGTTTCTCGCCGGTTTTCTGTGTAGCCATTTTTTCGTTCAGATCAAACCGGCGCTTTTGCTCGAGATAGAATTTGTAACACTAATTAGTAAAAAGTACAATTAATTGGACGCTTCCTATTAAAATTTACTTCTATGAAGTCCTTTGATAGTCAAAAGACTATTTAAACAAGTTAAGATAGTTTTTTTAATCAAACTAAAAGCCAGGAATGATAAATTACTTAATTTATTCGTACCTTATCCAACTGTTCCCTAAAAATATTTAATTAATAATGTGTATTATTGTGGTTTAAGAAAAACGAGTTCTTTAAGTAACCACTTCTTTTTAAAATTAAAATATTCAGACTTACACAATTTAGGATTAGATTTGTTTTATCATTGATAGCGACCCGCCGCGGCTTCGCACGGTTGCAATGCTGGACCTAAATTAACCCACAATTAAATGGATGTTAATTATACATTAAAATCTTCCTCTTCAGTCACTCTATCTGTTAAAAAACGCATTAAAATCCGTTACGTAGATGCGTAGATATTAAAAAGGGGAGTTTGTTTTATACTATGTAGTGATAACAATGCTATAAATCTATACTAAAAGTCAAACTTTGTATATTAGTTCAAATACGTTACGAACACCGCAAAAAGTGAGTTTTTTTGTAAAATACATATATATACAACACAAATCTTATAACATTGTGAATTTCCTGATTATTCGTCTAACGCCATCTAGGAGCGTAGAGTAAAAACTTTAGTTCAGCGAGTATAAGCGACATCTATATTTTAATACTCAAAACTTATAACAGCGCCATCTATGTTGCTACTTTGTACACTAATGTCTTTTAACCGTCAATCGCCGTGCCTCGCCATTTATTTTGATAACGTTTAAGTACGTTCTTTAAGTAATTTTAATATATCATATTTAATTATTGATTTTATTCTTATTTACTTTTTATTCAAATCGTTGTCGTAAATATTCTTATCTAAACTAATGACCAGAACGAGCGCCCAGGCAAACCAAAACTAAATTATAATGATATTTATTTTTGACAATGATCTATCGTAAACTAAAATTAATTAAGAAATAACGACTTGCAATGTGAATTGTTATCCTCATCACAGAGTAGTAGAGCTTTTCTCAGTTTAATTCACCTAAGTTGTTATATTTTTCAATAAGTTTTGAGATTACACGGGGAAGAACTAATAAGAGAGAGGGATGGAGCTATACACCTTTTAAAGCTCCATCCCTCTTTTTCGCCCCTCATGGTAGGCCTACAGGTTACTCTTTTATTATCAGGTTAAATTAAAAACAAAATAATACACAAATATAAAGCCGTTTTATTTCTTCATCTTACAAAGTTATCTATACAGTATTTAGTCAATAAAATAATTTACAGCGCATCAAAGGTCAAAGTCAAAATCATCATCAATATCAAATTACCGCTTGCCAAGCTTGGAGATTTTGGCAAATTCATGTCACCGCCGGAAGCCGCCTATCAAAACCCGCAACACTATGGTCTCAGGTTTATCTTCTTAGGTGGTTAACTAAAGGTAAACAATGTTGGTATGTCTTATTATATTAAAGAGCTCGTATAAAGTACATACAAAGATTATTTCAAATAAGTTTATTAGCTAACATCGATTTAGTAAATACACATTTCATTTTTAGAAAACTTTTAGATAAAAAGACAGGGCAAGTTTACTGGCCATAAAAATATAGGGGTTAGAGCTTTGAGGGTTCGAAATGGGCTCCGCTAACCTCACTCACTCACGGCAAAATAACGCATTCCCATCTTCAACACCATTGGTATGATTTTAATACTGTTTCCAATAGTAGGTATTGGTTTGGATGGTGCATATTCTTAGATAGATGTTACAGTAAGCAATAGAATTAACTATTTTTACTTAATATGTCAAATAAAATTAGCACAGTGTTCACCAAAGGTTATAGAAGTGCAGCTACCAAAGGAAGCTTCGTTTCTGAACACTGTCTTTCCGATTCGCGACGTTAGCACTCCCAGTTTTTGGTTTTTTGGAGCCATATTTTTAATTTTTTGTACAGCTACCGCGGGTTTTAAATCTGTCTTAAGTTCTTATCTGTTCTACAGCTTGAAAACTATCCACCACCCATTCTTTAAGACGTAGTCAGAACAAAATGGTGAAGTATTTTATATTATTTGAAACTACCTATGACCCGCAGTTACACCCGCGTATTATATCACCGGGCACAGTATAGCATCAAAATAGTTAAAGAAGTTACAGTCACTTAATATTATAAAGAGGTAAAATTTGTAAGTTTGTATATAGGGGGTAATCTTTGGAACCGCTGGTCGGATTGCCAAAATTCTTTCACTGATAGATAGCTACAATGTTCCTGAGTGCTATAGGCTATAAAACATTACGCTACGATCAAATGGAGGCGAGCGGCGGGTGAAACAGCGCGAGAGTAGCTAGTGTTTAATATGAGTCAACTATTTTCGGAGCCTATTCCAATTCAAACAAACAATCAAATATAATTATGATAGGTGCTTTTGACTTTGACTTTGAAGTCAGACAGAATTTGTATAACATATTCCTTTTATCTTAAAGCTAAATTAGCAGCACAAATAAATAACTGCCTCTGTATTCTAATGGATACATCTACGGTTGGCTATCGTGAGATCTAAGTCATGTACCAGGCTACGTAATACCAATCAATTGGGTAGTTTCCTTAGTCAAAATTAAATTAATTCGAGGTTTCAGTACAATAAAATATTCAAAAACAACTATACTTTTATTCATCAATCTGTCGCTGTCGAACAACTAAATTTTCGATATTTTTTGCAAGTTTTTAAAAAATAATTATCAACCTATTTGATGCATAAATACTATGACGTCATAATTTGTCATAGAAAAGTATCGTTTTTGACATTTGAATAAAAGAGTATTTATTTTGACTAGTTGGAAACTACCGTATTGAATGGGAGCTTCCGTTTTCCCCCACTAGATGGCGCTAATATAAACTAGTGTATTCGTCCAATTAAGAAATAGTGTGACGCCATTGGACGTACACTTTTAGCATCTACGGTGATTGGTACAACGGTGCTATGCTGAATGTCTTTCAAGCGCTCGTCTATCGAGATAGAAGAAAACTTTATGTATGACACTGACATGTGTCCCTTTTTATGAAATAGAAGGCAAACCAGTGTTTTTTTCTTTTGGTTAGGTGAAAACCACCAAATAACTACTCCCGCCCAGGGTGGGACGGGAAGGAGTTTCAGACTCTTACTAACTAAAAACCCCCCGTTACTTCTGCTCTGGGCCGAGATCGCGGTGCCTCATTGCGCTTACCCCGCAACCCCGGCTGAACATCAGCCCTTTAGGGCCCCGTCTGTGGTGGTCTATTGGCTCTTTGAGGCGCGCGCGGAACGCTACGCGCCGTACGCTCGGGCCTGGTTCTGGTCGGGCGGCGAGCTGCCCTTACTCGCCGACCGCAGACCCGCGCTTACAGTGGTGCTACTCGCTTTTTAGACAAGCACTTGTCAAATTTTCTTTTGATCTATGAATTTTTAAATAAAAAGTCTAGCTATCTACAATGTTTCCTATATTGCTCTTTACGCTACTAAAAATAGTGTATATTTTCGCTTAAACAACATCTAATTATACTCAAATTTGGAAGCTAGCATTTTAGTCTTTTACTCAATCTAAAAAATTAGCTAAATGATGATCATATTAAAATAAAATTTAGGCTGGCATCCTAATATAAAGGTCTTTCTTAACACCGTATCATGAAATTTCATTCATTTAACATATACAAACAAAAATAAACGGTAGTCTTTTCGGTCTATTGGTCTTTTGAGGCATATAAAAATATAGTCTTTTGGAATACTTTACTGATTAACCAAAAACACCATTTCAAATTAAATGGCTGGTCTTTTAGGTGCACTGGTATTTTCGTCTACTGGTCTTTTCGTCTACTGTGCTTACATTTTGTGACGATACAATATTTGGATTATAAATCAATATTTTTGAGACGTCTATACCACGGTCTACTCAGTCTTTGGTATTTTCAACAATAACAATAGTCTTTGCTTTTCGCTTTGTAAGCAGCCTCGTCTTTTTGTAGCTGTAGTCTCATATCTTCGACGTTCTTCATTAGCTGGACATCAGCGGCGCAGTCGTCAACGATCTTTTGAAACAATTCGTCTGCAACACAAAATGAAAAGCATGAGAACAATCTCTATACTAATATCATTGGACTGCACGGTTGGTGCAGTGGATGGGCAACTGGCTGCCGTGTCGCGGGTTCGATTCCCGCACGGAACAACACTTTGTGTGATCCACAGATTGTTATTTCGGGTCTGGGTGTCATATTGTATTTTTGTAACCGCACTCACGACACAGGAGGAAATCCTAGTGCGAAGCAAGGTTTATTCAAAACTAAAAAAAAAAATTATACGAAGGCAACATTTTTAGTTTTGTACTTAAGAGGTAATATTTGGAATCGCTGGTCGGATTTCCAAATTTCTTTTACTGATAGATAGCTACAATGTTCCCGAGTGCTATAGGCTATAAAACATCACGCTACCTTCTGCTCCTTCTGCTGTGGCTCCAACAGATGTAGGAGCCAAGAAGCTGGTGAAACAACGCTGTTGTTTCGCCGTTTGAGTTACCGGAGGCTCAATTCTTCCCCTCCGCCTCCTCAAACAGGAAATCCCTTATCCGTAAATCCCTAACAACCCACAGGAGGCCGGCAAAGCACTCGTTGTAACTAGTTTGGCATTACGAGTGTCCATGGACGGCACTAATTGCTTACCATCAGGTAATCCGTCGGATCAATTGCCATACTATTTCTTAAAAAAAAGGTACACATACCAACATTCTCGCCAGTCTTGCTAGAAGTAAAGAAATGGCCACAGAGGCCTTGAGAGTAAGCCGCCACCGTGTCCTCTGGAACTTCCCTCGTGACGTACCCGCCGTCTAGGAGGTCCTTCTTAGTCCCACATAGGTAAACTTTGCAGTTCTGCAAAATATTAGAACGTTTCACTTCAATATTTAGAATTTTACTTGGTTCGGCGTTAAGCAACGCTTGCGTTATTTTCCGCCATGTGAGTGAGGTCACCGGAGGCGCAATTTATCCCAGCCATATCCAAAAGGAACTTACAAAAACACTGGTTTTGCGGGTGTCATGGGCAGATCGCTTACCATCAGGTGTCCGTTTTTTGCTCGTTTGCCGACTTCTACTAGAAAAAAGGCAGAAATTTATTTCGTCTTTTCAACACAATACAAACTCACACACACACGGCAAAACACAACGTACAGTATTCTCTAAGACTGTAGTATCAGTTTGGTCCAGTGAATGGGCTATTCATGATGTAAGTAACTGTAACAAGTTCACTTTTAAAAATTCCGCCGTCGATTTTAACAATTCCTAAAAGGATTATATGCGACTGCTCAATTCCTCTTAGTTAGAATCAGATAGACAGAAGACTAAATCTCAGTCTAATCCATGGCAAATGGTCAACAACATCAAAATCCACAAACAGAACATTAGAACTAAGATCTCGCAAAAACTTGTGACGTGAAAAATTTCACTCCGACTTTTACCTTACAAGACACTTAAAAACTCCTCAAAAACTAATAGCCTAAAAGGCTGGTATGGAGTAAGTAAAGCCTAAAGTACCTACCTCCTCAATTCCTCGTAGTTCTTGAAGCCAGTGCCTCAGTCGCGTCCAGGAAGCTGCTGATGATGGCTCATAGCATATGATTGCAGCGTGAGCGCCCCTGTAGTATATTTTTGTCATTGCTTCGTATCTGGAAAGAATGAGTAAGCTTTTATGAATTTTCAGCTCGGTATTTTTAAACCACCTCTCTGCCAGATTTAGCCCATTTACGAGCACATTAGTTTAGGTGACTGCGAGAGGAACTAGAAAGCGGGATTCTCCTTTCTAGTTCCTCTCTTCGTGGCATTGGAGCGATCGAGCATCGTACCCGTAGCTCTACTCTCTGACTAGAGTCGGCACTACAGATGGGATCAGTTCACTTTTCCCCTACAAAAATAAGCCTGATGCTATCTCGACACAAAGATATAAACATACTAGTGGATTCTCAGACCGTGGCATTAGGGTGACGACATCTCTGGCCACCGTAATTGTAGCACTGGAACTGTAGAGTGTGATACAAAGAAATATTTTTACCTTTCGCTTCCCGCCGTGTCCCAAATCCCAACATTGAAGTCTTTTCCATTCGACTGCATCGTTTTAGCGCAGAAAGCTGCTCCTACCGTCTGGAAAAAAGCATAAACGGGTCGGTATTTAGTCAGTAAGAGTCAGTTGATGACATTCTATCCTCAAAAATAAAGAAAAAACGTTTGAAAAAATTTAATATATTCAAGGCGAATAGCACAAATATGTGGGTATTTATTACAAAAATATTAGCTAAAAAAATCTAAAATTCTAACACCCGGTTTCTGAAAGGCTTGTCAAGGCTAAAATTAACTAACCTCCTGTTAAACCTCTTGTCAAGTCATCTGATTGGTTGTTCATAATTCAGTCAACCAATTAGATGACTTGACAAGCGATTAAATTGATTTTAACATTGATCGGCCTTTCGGAAACCGGGTGTGAGTCTAAAAAGCATAAGTACCGTCAAATCAATGAAAGAAATTAGGGTTATATTTCAATAATTCACTGTATTGTAACGTCAAAATAATTAATTTTGGAAACTACCTAGTAAGGCTACAGATACCTCAACCTTAGGAGAATCATCTATCTGTATTGCTCAACTTTTCATCACCTTATACTTGGGCCACACTAACGGGAAATGCCATTATTTAACGCGATAATGGACGTTAATTGTAGGTGGAATTTGATCACTAAACAAATGTTTTAAGGCATATTTTTAATTGTTTTATATAATTATCAACTATCGCAGTAATTATAGCCATTTGAGGTTAGTGTGGCTCAAGCATTAAAAATTAAGAAAACATGAATTCTTCTTTAGCACGGAGCGGAAGAAGGAACAGGGTAGTTTTTAAAAGGTAAGAGTTGTTAGACAATCTCTTGTATTTGTTTCTTCCGGTATCAGTTTATGAGATATAATGTGATGACAGACAAACAGACAGACAGACACACACTCTAACCCTAGACTTCGCTGTCAGCGAAGTCTTGATAATAGGGTTGAAAATGTGGATGAGCGTCGTTTCGGCATGAACGACCAGCTCGACCGGAGTGATATCACGGGCTCACGGCCTCACGGCGGATCAGCGTAAAACAACCACAACGTTATATTTCGTCGTGAAAGTTAGGTAACAGAAGACCAAGTCTTCTTCCTGCCCTTCCCCAATCCCCCAAATCACATATTCTCAAATAACTAAACTGACAAAAGGCAGGTACAGTACGGCCGACGTATCTTGGCGAGTCAGAAGTTAGCCGTTTGTCTGCGGAATGGATCTTTTAAGAACAAAATTGTGTACTGCGCAGCTAATCGGCTAACTTCAGACTCGCCAAGATACGTCGGCCGCACTGTATCATACCCGTTACTCTTCTAGTGTTGTCGGTGACAATGGCGGGCGCAATTTGCTTACCATCAGGTGATCGTAAAGCTAATAAAATTAGTCGACCTATTCCATAAAAATAGACGCCTGAACCATACCCCCTTGTCAACAACCAAGTACCTAGTCAGTAGAGATAATCATTATTTTATTTTTAAACTAATTGTTTCACTTATCACATAGGTTCATGTGTTGAAGGACAAAACACTACATTATGTATATCTGTTTACAAAAATAAATCTGTTGTTTAAATACCTATGTTAGTTTCCAACTAGTCAAATTCAATGCTTTTATGAAAAAATGAGTTATGAAGTCATAGTTTTTTTGCGTCAAATAGTTCTAAAATTCAGTGTATTGATGGATCAATGAATTATAGTTATTTTTCAATATTTCATAGTATTGAAACATCGAATTAATTTATTTTTGACCTAGGACCCAATCCTATACTGTAAAAAAACTTGCTTTTTATTGCATCGAATTTGCATATTATATAATATTGCATCGAAGGTGTAGTGTCTTGGCAACTGGATGCAACTAGATCCCGCACAACAACACTGTGTGAGCCACAAATTGTTGTTCCTAGTCTGGGTGTGATGTGTATGTGAAATTGTATATTTGTGAACGCACCTTCGACACAGGAGAAAATCATAGTGTAGGGTAATACTTTTCAAAGAAAAAAAACAATGGATGTGCAGTAATTTATATTCATAGAAGGTTATTTTTACTCATGACTTCCTGTGTAGGCCAAGACAGAAGTATCCTACATAGAAAGTTTTTTATATTACAGAACTACATTAAGGCAGAAAAACAATTAAGGTACTATAAAATCAATAAAGGTACTTAAGAGATTTTCTCCAATATCATATTATCTTTGGGTGTGTACACAAATATAAAAATGTCTATCCATTATTATGCATACTGTGAACAATTTAAATTTGTGAAAAATTTTAAAATGTATAAATCTTGAAATATAAAAACAAATTGCAATAAGTCTAAGTAAGCACATAACTCAACAACGCCTGGACCAATTTTGGTATGTAATTCTTTTTTGTTGAGTTTGTTTTTGTCAGGAGAAGGTTCAAAGAAAATATTAGAAAAGTTGATGGGAAGATTGGAAAAAACTAATCCTTTGTTAGCGGGATAGTTTGACCTGTGCAAAGCGGGGCAGACTGCTAGTCAAGAATAAAAAATATAATATATTTTCTAGTCGGTAATTAATGAATTACTATCACCTGTAGTTATTCAAAAAATTTAAGTACTGTAATTAGAGACAACATTTTAATAAGAAAAGTAAACATTTAGTTTAATTGCTCAAGTTTTTTTTTGTTCATTGTTCAAAATTTGTGCTAGCCATTCCACTAAGTATAGACAATAAAAAATTTAAACCATAAAAAGTAATTAAACCAAGGATTATAATTATTAGCTGCGTGCATAGTTTACGACTTAAATTGATCTAATAGATCGAAAACCAGTTATATTTTTATTAATAAATACAAGAGTATAGTATGAAGGTCCAACATTTGCATTAATATGAATGCGTGACTGTGCGTTTTGCTAAAAAAAAAAATAGGCGTAGTACTGTACTGTACTGACATGTAAACAACAAATTTATGCATTGATTTACTCACATTTTGATAAGGAATATCGGCATTGAATCTGCAACTGACGAAACGCAACACTAAACTAGTTTTTCCCACATGTTCACTACCTAATAAAACCACTTTAAAATCACATCTGCTCATTTTTATGCACAAATTCGTACAACAAATCAATGCAAGAATCACACAGCGCAATTTTTTTTTTATCTCTCACTAAATCTGACGAAGGAAACTTCGGAAATTCCCAAATGATAACGTGATTCACGACTTATTTAATTTGTTGAATAACTGTTAAATGAGTAATTAATTTGAATAATGTTAGTTTTATAATTAACGATTATTAATTATAACTAAATTATTTTTTAAACAAAGCGCTCGTTTCGTTTCGCAATGGGCTTTTGTCTGTAAATATTATTTTGACGTTTCTTTGACGTCTGAGCAAGAATATTATATAGAACACTGGATGTTGCCCCTATAAGAAATTATTGAATCCAAGTTTATTCACCTTTCGTATGTTTTTTATCTCGCTCACACTTGAATAAAATGTTGCCATAATAAAATGACTTTTTACCTTGGTAACTGATCATAAATATATGACCAAAAGAGAGGCACACATATTTTATGTTTATTTTGAAATCCAAATATCAGCCTTAAAAATTTAAACAATTTAAAAGTTATTCATAGTTTATTCAAGCTATTTTAAAGTTGTTTTTTTATTAAAATTACTTTTAAGTTTACCCACTTTTAAACTTTTAACGTGGAGTTCAAAACTTGTAACACTGTTGGGGTAGTATTATCCAAAATGGCTACTCTGTCAATTACTTTTCGACTACTCGAAGTGTTTGACTGAAGTATTTCGAGGATTTGTGAATTAATTTAAAGTGCCTTATTATGTATTGCGTAGTCAAAGATTGTACAAGTGTATGGAACACAACATGAAATGTCATCTTTCACAGGTAAGTCCAGAAATACCATATTTTAAGTTATACATTATCGTTACCTATTTTATGCCAATATTTAAAAAATCTGTAAATATTTACGTTCGAAACGGTGTCACAAACATTTATCTAGTAATCTTTGTCATCGTTTAGAAATTTATATGTGTAAATCGCATTTAATTATTAAAAAACAGGTACGTTTAGTCTTAGACGTCAAAATTGTATGTTTGTAAACAAAGAGCTAAAGAGTGACCATATTTTTTAAGTTAGGTAGATACTTTTTGGTTTGTGGAATGGTTGAATTTTATGTAGGCTTCGTTGCTCTTATAATGAGACTAACGTATTATATCTGAGGGTAAAACAGAAAGGTCTTCAAATTTTAATAATTAAAAGAGTGTTGAAACTAAGGTTAGAGAGGTCCTGCTATTTTGCTCTAATTACAGTAAATTAAATCAGTCAACTTGGTTAATATACAATTAATTTTATGTTTCAGTTTTCCCAAGGACTCGGAAAAAAGGCAGAAATGGTGGTCTGTTATACCATTAAAAGGGAAGTTTTATGAATCAGCAAAGATTTGTAGCTTACACTTTAAGCCGGAGAATTATGATCCATTAAGACCAAAAAGGCTTTTAAATAGTGCTGTTCCGGTTGATTCTGTACAATTATGCTCCTGTGGTAATAACGTTATGGTAAGCATTTTTTACATTTCACAATGTGCTGCTTACCCATCCAACAACCATGTTGAGAATAATATTTCAAATTACAGGCATGTAAAACGCCATTCAAATGCTTGGTTTCACCTAATGCAATGATACCGACAGAAACTGATACTTGTTCCAGTGTCAGGAAAAGAACACAGCTGTTGCGAAAAGGACATACACATCATACAAAATGAAAATATTGTAAGTATTTAACTTATTGTCTAGTATTTAGGTATGTTTTTATCCTTTTCAAAATTTGCTGCTTACATACCTAGCAATCATGTTAACAATAATATTTCAAATTACAGGCAAGTACAACGCCATGCAAGTGCTCGGCTTCATCAAATGAAACAATACCAACGCACAACACACAGTGAAAATATTGTAAGTATTTAATTTATTGTGTAGTATTAGCTTGTACTTATGGCATAGAAGTCAAACCAAACCTTCAACATCCAGGTTAGGTTTTTTTTGGTTTTTTCACGATGTAATAAGCTCATGATAGACATTGAGTCCTTTTGATCATCTTAGTTGTTACTGATTATAATGTTTGTTCCACAGGTAGTTGATGAAAATGAACCGCCAGCGAAACGACGCCGCTTAAAAGATTTTAATGTTCAATGTAAAATAAAGTCACTCGGGAAAAGTGTTTGGAAAAAACGAAAAAAAAATTACAACAAAAAGTTGCGCGAAATGAACAAAAAATAAAAGATTTGAAGTCGTTAGTTTTAACATTGTTCGTAATTACAGAATATAACAGAATTCATAGTTCATAAAATTTTACAAAAAAACACTTGTAACTTTTGTCATCAATTATTAACTACCGAAAATGAAATAAAAAATATGATCATGATTATTTTGTTAATATTAATAGACATTCTGCGTTTACGACCTTTGTAAATAGGGGTAAATTATGTTTCGCATCTGATGCAGCGTTCGAGGTAGTGCGCTACTCAGATAGTTTGTTTAAGCACTCGGTATCCAAAGGTATAATGTACAATCGAAATTAGTGTTAGCGGTCCTGGAAAAATTTTATCCATTGTTGCAGGAATTATTTGTGCCTAAACATCCAATCACTGATACTTGTATGGATTTACACGAAACTTTATTTTTTTTATGTAATCGGTCGGCAAACGAGCAGACGGATTACCTGATGGTAAGCAATCAGCGCCGCCCAGGGACACCCGCAACGGAGGAGTTACGAGTGCGTTGCCGACCTTTTAGGGATTTGGGATTTGGAGATCTAGGGATTGAGGGAGGGGAAGGATTGGGCCTCCGGTAACCTCACTCACACGGCGAAACACAACGCTGTGGTTGTTTCACGCTGGTTTTCTGTGAGGCCGTGGTATCACTCCGGTCGAGCCGACCCATTCGTGCCGAAGCATGGCTCTCCCACACTTAAAAATAATAAAATATATTTCGAATAGTTTTTTTTAAATAAGAATTCATTCTTATCTGAAAACTTATACTCAAAAGCTTTTGGGTGACAAGGCAAAAATTGCATAAAACTGTTTTATTTTCACACGTGTGATATAAACTTGTGATTTTTATTAATAAAAATGATTTTGCACTGTAATGACTTTTTTTAAATATCCCCGGTACGGTCTGACGGCAACCTACCAATTATTCACCATCCGCTAGCCCGTGCCTATGGTGGCTGAAAATCGAGATCGGGATCCTATCGTCAACACACATGATCTTACATTCGCCCTCTTTCAATATGTATAGACATTGTTATTATTTAAATAAAAAGGACTTGATACTAGGCTTTATGATTTGGAATAAAAACGAGGACTTGTAACTGTTTAAGGAAATTTATTGAATGGTTGATATCGTGTGAGAAGTGATATGGAAGACAGAGGAGTTAGCGATAGCGTGACGAGTGACAGGACAGAATGGAAGAAAAAAACATATTGCACCGACCCCAAATAAAACGGGACAAGGGCAGGAAGATGATGATGGTTGATATCGTGGACTGGTAAGGACTTATGAAATCAAATAGGTATTGGCTTTTAGCTGCAAGTAATTTTTAAGCTTAAATGGGAACTTATCAGCTTGACTTGTTTTCAAGGGGTGTTTTTGAAAGAATACCTATCATTATAATTCTTATTGTTTACATACGTAGTATATCTTTTTAATTTGTGTTGCTTACCTGCTAAAATATTTGTGTCAAGTTTAATATCTAAAGAAATGATATCTAGATATAGCAGTATTACTGTTAAGTGTTAACGGTTGTGTGTATACGTAAGTACTCTTAAGGGTGTATTAAGATAACATGCGCTGAACACGCACAGCATCCGCGCACGCTTTGCGCTCGCCTTAGACCTAAAACATACGCAAGCGACGTAAAGCAAAGGCATGGGGCCGGCGCAGCGCAGGCGTTGGACAATTCACAAACATGCGGTAAACACTCATTAAAACATCTGTTATTCCAAAATCAAAATCGATCTTCAAGGCACCAACCGTTGTTTCCTTATCAGCACAAGAACACAGTTCAAAGCAAAACCCAACAGTATTTCTACATTTAAAAAATGTTTCTGGCCATGAAATGTTGACAAATATTTAAATATTTTTTATAATTTTTATGTAATGCCAATAAACGTCCTAAGGTACCCTCAACGCATACGGTATGTTGGTGGCATGACGTAGTTTTCTCGATCAACGCAAATGGTGCGTTGGTAGCAACGAATGGGATAAGGAACATACGACAGACAGACAAACATTTTAGCCATTGTATTTTTAGCATCAGTATCGAGTTATCGACTACCAACCCCTGATAGTTATTTTGAAAATATATTTAATGTACAGAATTGAGTTCTCTACAGATTTACAATTATATGTATGTATAGATTACTAAACCAAAACTAATACGATCGAAAACCACACTAAAATAGAAATGTTGAATTTAAACAATCATAAATATGTACAAAATATCCTAAAGCTAGTAAAAATAGTTGTCACCCTGATGAAAGAGATGCAAAACATAAATGACGTGTATCAAGGTCATTTTATTAGTCCTCAGTTCTTTTTTCTTGGTGCAACATCCAGTGTACTTTATAATATTCTTGCGTCTGAGTCACGAGTTCTGACATTCAACATTCCGTTTAAAAATAAAAAACCTCAAATATCTTAAACTTAATGAAAACTAAATATTTTATTATTTTAATTGGGCAAAAATCCCACATATTTACTTAGGGTTTGAACAATGTCTAACTTTTATTATATCAAAATTAGTAGTACCTAGTAGTATAATAAATTGTACGTAAAGTAATTTTGTTTGTAACCTTTTTAAGGTACAGTTATTAAACCATATGTATAAGATATTGTTCTGCTGCACTTACGAATAAATAAAGTAAAGAAAGGAAATTACCGCTTGTGTATTGTAGATATTACCTATACAACAGATCAACTACAAACAGATGGGCCCAGTAGAACGGATGTGCAGTCGAGGTAAACACAAAAATGTACTGCAACACCAGCCTGGATCAGAAAAAAAGAGTCTAACACGCCTTCGCACCCAACCAGCGACAAAGTTTAAAGCTACTTGACGATTTTTCAGTAATAGCATATTTTCTGAAAATGTGTCGAAGGGTATAATGGCAGGCTGGTATATTGTAGCACTAATTATATTCACCCCAACGGCCCACGGGATTCATAATTGTTAAAAAATATGTAAGTTTGTACCTTTATTTAGTTTCAGTAGGTAATATCAAGGTTACACAACTAGTTTTTTTGTGTTTTTATGCGATAAGTCGGCAAACAAGCAGGTTGAAACATAACTTGCGTAGTATTTCTTCGTGTGAATGAGGGTATGATCATCCGTCCGGTGTCGAAGGACCTAGCCTAGAAGCATGGCTCTCCTAAACTAATCTACGTGCTTACTGCTTTAGCCCGTAATACATTGATTCATGTCATGTGCTTATGCATACAATTATGCTTTTTAACAATCCTGTCTATTCCAAAAAGTTAAAACAAATATAAGTAAAGCCCAGGTTTCCTCACGATGTTTTCCTTCAACGTACATCAGTGGTGTATAATAAATTAAGAAAGTACAAACAACTCGAAAATAATGACAATGATACTTGCCAGTATTAACACTCATGCTTGAGAAGCGGGCGCCTTTACCTCCGAGCCACCCCGACTTCCTCTACCCTACCGAAAGGGAGTTTCAGTTTCCTACTTACTAAAAACTACGCCCTTCCTTCTCCTGCAAAAAGCCAGGTCCATGGAACACCCACCTAAGCTCTTATAGACTGATTAAATCTACTCTAAGCAAATATTAAAACAAGTATAGATTACGTACCTTATAAATTATATTGTTTAATTATACCTTATAAATGATTTAATTCTTAATTTACTGGAGACCCAATCCCCCACCTCCCTCAATCCCTAAATCTCCAAATAAAAAATGCCCAAAATATCAGTAACGCACTCGTTACTCCTCTGTTGTTGCGACTTGCGAGTGTCCATGGGCGGCGCTGATTGCTTACCTGATGTAATCAGTAATATCGTTTGCCGACCTACCACATAAAAAAATCTAGGTATGTAAGTATGTAGTTTGCAGTGTTGGCTCACACACTTCGGAGATATCGACAGGTTGCGTTTTATCCTTGTCTGTTTGTAAGCTACGCACAAATGTTCCTAATAATACAGTATGATAGGTTAAACGAGGGACGTATTGAGTAACATTTTTGGAGACCAATATCAAACAATAAAAAAAATCCATATAAATCGCTAACAGCTGACTGATCGTTTTGCAGGTATCTAAGAGAAAAAAAAATTGAGAATTCCATACTTATTGGTCTTATGAAAAAAGTTCGCAACAGAATCAGGTTATTGAATATGTTCCTCTTTTAACCTATATAACACAGACAGTGCCTACGAGTATAAGTTCAAAGCGAGCTATAAGCTCACCGGTACCTCATTCAATTTTTAAGTAAAATTACACACTCAGAGACTCAGAGCCTAACATGGTTAAGAGTAAAAAGTACGTAGGTACAACATAAAACAGTATACTGGTCCTGTTTCAGTAGCGCCACATAACCAAACTAATACAACTCGATGAATACTTTTCATTGTGATCCGCCATCGATGTAAACAAACAATGTCAAAAATAAACATTTTTTTTTGCGTTTTATCTATGTACGCAAGTTCGTTGAACTTTTGACATTTCTCAATGAACTTTGTCTTCTATCTCGCTCTGTCTGCATTTTTATACGTCACAAGATGCATTTTAATGTTGCCATAACAGAATTAAAAACTCCCAATTAATGTTTGTATTAAAAATAGGTACTCATCACGGGGGGTACCTCTTGTTGTCATAATTATATTGTTCTTTATTCAAGGATTAAATTTAAACTAAGTATAAGGAATTATCAGGATTCATTAAAAGTTGGTTTAATCAACCATACGACTTATTTATTAAGTCATTCAAACCCCAAGCGTACGCCGGTGTGCGGACCAATTGTAATACTTCTATTATGTCTCAAATAACCACGACTGATAGGTAAAAATAACAAATATTCGACCAGTTTTAAAGATTTTATTTGGTTTAATAAAATGTTTAATGTGAGGCATGTACCTAAATACATTATTTTATTATCAATAAAAATTTTCATAAGACTGCAATTAATCTGTTTTTCTTTCTTATCCTTTCTTTTCAATACATTTATCATAAGTTTAAAATCTAATTTTAATATAGAAAAAGGTTATTATCAACAATCCTGTTCCTCTAGTACACAAGTTATAACGAAAAAAAAATGCGGTTAACATCTCGTATAAGAATGATCAATTAACTAACTACCTATTTAATGACTTATAAATTGATTTTCTAATACCTTCAAAGAAAAAGGACTGTCATATTATTTTATAATGATTACCCATATTTCTTATTTCTTCTCTTTCAATTTGACTGTAAACCAACTTATAATTTCTCATCTATGTTAAATACCATGTAGTTAACTAATTAATTCATTTGCTCTTTATAATATAATAATAATGGTTCGAATAACTTGCTAAATCTTAAGTACCTAATGAGAGACATAACCTAAGTGTTATTCATTAATGTCCTTAAAACTTAATTTAAAATTTCTATGAAGGTTTATTATAGTTTCTTCTTCTGAATAAACCACATCTGCACGGCAAAAAGGTAAGTCTTCATTTGTTACCTATTAAGTTTTTTATACAAGTTTAGCACGAAACGCTTGTTTCTCTGTGTATAAAATTTTGTTGACATGACTCATAATGTTTAAGCCGCAGCGTTCGCATCGAACCTGCTCTGTGCACTCCCCTAATCAGATAAATGAGTGTAAAATGCATAATTATTGTTACTTCTACATTATTCTCCAATTTAGGCCACCATTATTTTGTCCCTTTCTAACAAACCCCGCCCGTTCGTTGTTCAGAAAACTATTGGTGTATTGATTTTTAGTCGGACTATGTCATGCAAACAAATCAATATTGTCTGTACTCGCTAATCTTTATCTGATAACGTAATGAAATATATTGAGCGTCACAAAAAATATTTAATACACTTTTAATCGTCATTTCAGGTCAAAATAGATTTTAAAAAGGAAATACATTAACCTTTGTTTGTGCCTAGACTTTTGTTACTAGGCAGCTTTTTATGAAAGTTTATTTACATGTGAGAATTTCGAAAAATCGCCTGTATAAGATATTATTACAGATTTTCGTTTAAAAATTTATGTGAATGTCTCCGAATGATTACTCATTAACTTGTCCTCTCAAATACCACCTCATTTACAAAATTAAAGCACGTGATACATTTAAAAACAAATTAAATACCAAATATTAAAATAATAATTTTCCTCCGCATTGAAAAACACGAAAATTCACATCTTAATTTGCGACGAAATAAATGTATAATGTTTTTTTTAAATGTGTAGAAAATATGGTATTAGAAAAAATGAGAAAATAAACGATTTAAATACGTCAGTAGTATTCTGGTTGAGAGGCGAACGAAGCAAGGTGAAGCCGAACCGCGCACAAAGAACCTGCGATAACGCGTTTATACGATAAACACGTCAAGTAGTTTATTACAATGCCAACTCGACGCTCGACCTACCTATAACTATCTCTATTCCGTACTGTCTCACCTCTTGCCCCACACCCAAAAATGTTGCTTGCTAAATAACAAAAACTAACAAAACTTTTAGCCAAACCTTTTAATCAAAACATTCTTATATTGAAAAGGATTTTTCGCTCGTTATTTTGATGTTTTTGTACAATTTTTTTACCTTTTCGTTTAGATTTTACACTTATTTTCTATTAAACGGATAAATTGAAAAGATTATGAAGTCACTGTTTTCGAGAACGATTTCGCAAGTTTTGTTCCGAATACACAGCTGAGTAACACATATCTAAATGGCGAGTTTGGTTTGGAGCCAAGTTTTTCGAATAAAACTTGATAATATCATAGTTTAGTAATTAATCTGATATATAATTAACTAACCCGTACCTAAAGATCATATTTTAGCGCAAGAAAAGATTTTTACTTGTCACAACATAGCATTTTGTAACTATGAATCGGACCAAGCTATCGACGTCAACGCGCTAACGGGACTTCGTCGTATAACACGGAGTGTTGCCATAACAAAAATAGATTTGCTATCTCAACTCCCCTGTATAGGCAGTAGCGTTACCATTCGTGATGAAATGGACGTCTTAGGAAATTTTATATCGCAGTGAATTTTGTTTATATCTCCGATAATCTACGTTAAAAACTTTTGTAATCACTTTTAAAAGCGTCCTTTTGCAATAAAGATGTAGTATCATTAAAAGTTAAGAGTGGAAAACGTTAATTTATTGTATATAGCCCTATGCTTCGATGTGTGGAGTAAGGCAAACGAAAATTGATTGTATAGAGAAAACTTAAGTTGATATATCAAGGGTTTTTATATTGTGTGGTAATATAATTATTATTGTTTTATCCTATGTTATAAGTGTAAAATAGTGTTTTATATAAGTGTTTGTTGTTTTTAAATGGGATTTCACGATATAGGTAAGTTTTGTAAAAGTAATTTCTTTCTAGGCTGTAGATAAGAGTTTAATTACCTTTTTCATGGTGTCTATTGATGGAAATGCACGGAAAATTCTTTGATACACTTAAAAATATTGCTATTTATATGAAAATTCCGATGTAGCTGAGATTGATTGACAGTGTACATTGTTTTTTCTTTAAAACTCTTTTAAAAGTGTTATGCATGTCAGAATTCACTTTAAAAGTACAATAAAAGTCTTTAGAGACCTCATTAGAGCAAATTAAAATTAATTCATTAATGTTTGTAAGTGTGTATGGTGTTTAAAAACCTTAGAAATTGCTACACTGATTCTGATAAACCAGTTCTCTTGGGACAAGTTTAAGGAACATTACATTTCCAGTTTGCACCTACCTGTGTGTGTTTATACTGCTGTTTTGATCATCAATATCAAAGTCAAAGTGTTTTGCATGTCTTTTTAACCCTCAAAGTTTATGCAGAGGTGTACATAAGCAATATAACACCCGCTTTGCACCAGTTTTTTATCATTGTCATGTATGTTTATCGATACATATAGTATGGGAAACTTAGGGAATGAGTTTAAAGCCATACTCCAAGCTCAATTCCAGACAAAGTTTCAATAAACAGGAAGAATCTTAATGAAGTTTTGCGTGACCCAAGAATTTAATGTTAACCGAACCTAATGTAGGCACTAAAGAGTTTTTATTCAAGTTAATTTTTGTTTTTTTTTTTCATTATTCTTTTAATGAATATAAGGAGGAGAATTTTGTGGAGGTTTGAATGGTATGAAAGAGAAAGGAGTTGTGATATGTGATGTGAAGATGTCTGATAAGGGAAACAGGAGAAGGAGGAGAAGACATGTTGAGCTAACCACTAGTAACTTGTGATAAGGATAGGAAGAAGTCTTGTTATAAATAAAAATGAATTCTTATTTGTTAGTCCTGCTAAAACTCGAGAACGGCTGGTCTGATTTCGCTAATTACCATTTTGAAAAGAAGTCCTGAGAAGTCCTTTTTTTTTAAGTTTATAAATTATTTGTTGTTTTCGATGCAGTATGGTGTTTGGTTGGTCAGTTGGTTTTATTTGTAACTAGATATAAATCTCCCTTTTCAATCACCAAAAACTATATCAAAATCTGTTGAATTGTTCATAAGATTTAAGCATACATACTGATACAGTCACAGAGAAAGCAATTTAGTTTTATAATCTGTAGCCATATATTGAAAGAACCGTATCAAAATTGGTTTCCTAGTTTATTAGATTTAACCGTACATAGGGATATAGGGACAGAGAAAGCTACTTTGTTTTATACTATGTAGTAAACTTAACTTGGAGTGACATATTTTAGTTACGCGTTAAATTAATAAGTGAAATTATGTTTTTTTTTTTGTAATAGTCAGAATGATTTTTGAACTAAAAGATAGGCAGAGGTCAACGAATTTATTGTTTCATGTCTGGGTATGATGTGAATTTTTAAATTCTTATGTGTGTAAACACATCCCCATCACAGATAAAAACAAAAAATGAAGCTTGCTTCTTAAAAAAAAAGTTTTGTGTAGTTATAACCTTTTTTCTGAATAACAAAAGATGCTTCTGATCTTTGTTAGTCACTGTTTTTTAGTCAATTAATAAAAATGCTCTAAGCTGACACTCATAAAAACATTTAATTTACAGTCAAGTCATTAGTGAAGCTGATGGTTTAATGTAAAACCCCAACCCCAAGTACCCTTTTGTGCTTCTATGGCCGTCGGAGCGCGCCACCTCCAGGTGGGTCCCAAGTAACGGCAGGAGGAGTTACCGTCGGCGTCGAGTCGGCGATGAAGTACCTGGGTCTCGTCCTCGACAGCCGATGGAACTTCACGGAGCATTTTCGTCGTTTGGCCCCTAAGTTGGAACGGTCTGGGGCCGCGCTCAAGCGGCTCCTTCCCAACCTCGGGGGGCCAAACGCCTCCTGCCGGAGGTTGTATATGGGGATTGTGCGATCCATGGCCCTCTACGGTGCCCCTGTGTGGGCGCCGGACTTGAAGCGGCGGCCGGCTCGTACGCTGGTCGCGTCCCAGAGGGTCATGGCTATACGAGTAATCCGCGGGTATCGCACGATCTCCGGGGAGGCGGCGAACCTCCTTGCCGGATCACCGCCGTGGGATCTAGAAGCGAAGGCGCTCGCGCGCGTCTACAGTTTGCGCGCAGACGCGCGTCGCCGGGGCGAAGATCCTCTGCCGCGCCAAATAAGTGCGTGGCGGAATGAGCTCCGGCGAGATCTCACGGCAGAGTGGAGACAACGACTGTCGCAACCGAGGGCCGGGCACGCTACCATAGCAGCGGTAAGACCCCTCTTTGAGGAGTGGCTTGAGAGACGCCACGGCGTCCTCACCTTCCGTCTGACGCAGGTGCTTACCGGGCACGGCAGCTTCGGTAGGTTCCTGTTTCGGATTCAGCGGGAGGAAACGCCCGAGTGTCGTCATTGTGAGGACCACCTAGAGGATACGGTGGAGCATACGGTAGCGGTATGCCCTGCCTGGGCTGAGCACCGCCGTATCCTCAGGGAAGTGATCGGCGGCGGCGACCTCTCGCGCCCGGCCTTAGTCGAGGCCATGGTGCGGAGTGAGAGGAACTGGGACGCCGTCTCCTCCTTTTGTGAAGCAGTCATGCTCGCAAAGAGAGAGGCGGCCCGCGTGAGGGAGCAATCCTCCTCCTCACGCCCCAGCAGCCGCAACTGGCGACACTACGGGCGTCGGGGATCGAGGGACGATCTCCGGCCACCGTAAGTACGGGCCTGCGGTCGGCGAGTAAGGGCAGCTCGCCGCCCGACCAGAACCAGGCCCGAGCGTACGGCGCGTAGCGTTCCGCGCGCGCCTCAAAGAGCCAATAGACCACCACAGACGGGGCCCTAAAGGGCTGATGTTCAGCCGGGGTTGCGGGGTAAGCGCAATGAGGTACCGCGACCTCGGCACAGAGCAGGAGAAGGAACAGGGGGGTTTTTAGTCAGTAAGAGTCTGACACTCCCTCCTGCCCGGCCCTGGGCGGGAGAAGTCATTTGATGATTTTCCCCTCACAAAAAAAAAAAAAAAAACCCCAAGTACCCTTTAATAATTTTCTAACTACACACAAATTTAGTAAGAAATTTTATTTTATCTTTTTGCCAGACTCTGGTTATTAAGTCAGACACTGCACTGGTTACGAAGCCAGACTCATAATCATAAAATAAATATACTTATTATTTTCATCATGTTTTTACACCAGTTTTGTATTAAAACAAAAGTCCGCTATTAGGATTATGTCATGTGTTGTGTACCTTTACAGACCTACAAGTTCACACATACAAGACACACAAAATTTTTTTTTTATAAACTAGAACTGCAGAGCTAGTTGCCCAGCCACAGTGTCAACGGTGGAATATTGAAACCCTCAAAGTAATATTTTAAATACAAACTCTTTTGACTCAAAAACTACTGTACAGATCTGAATAAAATTTGGCATAGAAGTAAGTTACAGTCTGGAATAACTCATAATTAGCTTGATGTTACTATAAACATATGATATTTATGATCATTTAGGCTACTTTTGAAAGGGAAACCATTGGCAGAGATTAGTCGGATTCTAAAACTAACTACTTAATGCACATATACCTAACTAGCTATTCACTTAAGTGGAATTTTTAACTTGGGATTATTCAGCGAATTTCTTCCTGTAACAATGTCCTCCTTCATAAAGGAGTTATTGGCCATGATCTCCATATTTCACAGGTAAATTGGAGATTAGAGTACTTTAAAAAGCTTTAGATTTAAATTGTATATTGGAGATCACAGTACTAGTAAAGAGTTGCATTAGTATTTTTTTCATACCGAGACAGTCAAGTACAATAATTACTGATGCAATTCAGAAAACCTAGCTATCTGATAACAGTAAATATTATACCCTATGCTGTTTGCTACACAGCATAGTCGCCAACCTCCTCCCCAAACCGGTCCTTTTAACTAAATATGCTGTTTCATTTCAATAATGATATTCTAAAAACCAATAACTAGTTAAATAGATCCCTAATGAAGTCGTTAACTTTAAATTTGATAAGCAATTAGTAGTTTCTCTGTCTGTTTCTGTTTGTTTAATGATATTACTAGTACCGGCTGACAAATTCCGCATTGCCATGTTATTTAACAGTTTGAATGTAGAAATAAAATGAAGGGCAAAACCTCCTCTACCATGGCTCATAGTATGTTGGTTCTTAGCTTTCTGGCGAGAGGGCGTGTCACTCTTACTGACTAAAACCCCCGTTCCTTCTCCTGCTCTAGGCCTAGCCCACAGTTCCTCATTGCGTTTGCCCCGTAAACCTGGCTGAATGATAACCCTGGTAGACCCCGTCGGTGGTGGTCTATTGGCTCTTTAAGGCGCGTATGGAACGCCTACGCACTGTACGCTCGGGTCTGGTTATGGGCGAACAAGTGTTGCTCGCACGCGGTGACTGAGGTGTGGTGGATAGCTCGTTCATGCGCTCCGCCTCCTTTGCGAGCATCAGTGCTTCGCAGAAAGAGGAGACGGCTTCCCAGTTCCTCTCTCTTGTCATGTACCTACACATCGAATGTTACTTTCAGAGCGATTTGTATAGGATAAAAAATTGTCTGTATTTTAATCGATTTTTTTTCCATATTTTCTTCCTTTTCGTTCGATTGAAATTAACTTCTATTGGTGTATAATTCCTAAAAAAATTACACCCTTACCTTACCGAATCGGAAATCTATATGGATCCGGAAATTCAACCCGCGTTCTCCCCAAAATTCCCTTGACAACACACAATAACACGACACCCACTTTTTTTAAGCAAATACGCGGCGCGTGTTTTTCTTCAAAAACTTTCTAGCCCAAAACCATAGTAACTACTGATCCGATTTTTATTAAAATTGCCACTTAAACGTAATAGATATATGAAGGACTAAAAGCCTTGCTCCAGTAAGAATGGGCCGGCTCAACTGGAGTGATACCACGGCCTCACAGAAAACCGGCGTAAAACTGCTGTGTTTCGCCGTGTGCGTGAGGGTATCGGAGGCCCGATCCATCCCGACCATCCCTTAATAATAAAAGACCGTTGACACACTTATAACTGCTCTTGAGTATGTCCATGAATGGCATCGATTGCTTACCATCAGGCCGCGCCTGACCTTTGCCCGACTTCACTACATAGTATAACACAAAGTCGCTTTCTCAGCCCCTACATCCCTATGTACGCTTAAATCTTTAAAACTTCGCAACGGATTTTGATGGGATTTTGTTAATAGATAGAGTGATTGTAATGGAAGGTTTATGCGTATAATAATTAATAATATCTATTTAGGAGTGGAGATATTTTCATAGCAATGCACCAGTGCGAAACCGAGGCGGGTCGCTAGTCCAAACTAATATTATTAATGCGAAAGTAACTCTGTCTGTCTTTTCTTTACGCCTAACCTATTTGCGTAATTTGGTACTGACATAGTTTGGAACCCGAGAAAGAACATAAGATAGTTTTTAAACCAAAAATCTGCAGGAAGTCAAGCTAGTTTCCAAATCATCACCATCAGCCTATAAATGCCCACTGCTAAGCAAAGGCCTTTTCTCATACGGAGAAGATTAGAGTATTAATCACCACGCTTGCTCAATGCAGGTTGGCGATTTCAAACTTATAATTAGAAATTATAAGTCCAGGTTTCGTCACGATGTTTACCTTCACCGTATGTCAGTGGTGTCTAAATAATCAAAGAAAATATCATATAACTCGGAAAAAGTCACATTAGTACCACCAGGTTTCGAACCCACACCCTCATGCATGAGAAGCGGGCTCTTTAACCTCCTGGCCACCACGACACCATAGTATCCAAATAAAAAAACTTTATCAAAACACCAATATCCTAAAAACTCGATACCGGACTTTTGACTCCCCTGTTATTGCGGATGCCCAAGGGCGGTGTCGATAATTAACCATCAGGCGATCCGTCTATTCTATGCCATAAAAAAATCACGTCTACGTACGTCCCTACGTCTTCGTAACATAATACCTGTTACACAACAGGTGTGAGCAGACACGTGCAAGGGTCGTAAGGTAACCTATTGTTGTTTTTTGACAATGTAAGTTCAGTTCCTGTTTACTTTTGAGGGGCTTAGCAGAAAAACAGGTGTTATTGACAAGAATGAGATTTAGGTTAAGCTGTTTTTTTTTAAGTCTGGAGATGTCGTGGTGGCCTGGAGGTTAAGCCCTTCTCATGCTTGAGAGTTCGGAACCTGGTGGTACTAATGTGACTTGTTCCGAGTTGTATGTACTTTCTATGATTATTTAGACACCACTGATGGAAAGCGAAGGTGAAGGAAAACATCGTGACGAAACCTGGACTTATAATTTCTAATTTTAAGTTTGAAATCGCCAATATACTTTAAGCAAGCGTGGTGATTGATGCTCAAATCTTCTCCGCGTGAAAAGAGGCCTTTGCTCAGCAGTGGGCACTTATAGGCTGATGATGGTGTTTAAGTCTGTTGTGATGTCAGGGTGTGGTAAAGGTTCAAAGTTCAAAAGCCGTGCGGAACAACTCTTTGCGTGATCCACAAATTGTTGTTCCGGGTCTGGGTGTGATGTGTATGTGAAATTGTATGTTTGTAATTGGATGAGAAGAGCTGAACATCGAGTTCAGTGGCGTGCGTTTGGAGAGGCCTATGTCCTGCAGTGCTCGGATGAAGCTGATGATGATGAAAGAAAGAAAGGATGAAAGTTTATGATAGAAGAAGAGAAAAGACAGGGTTCTCGGTTTCATTGCAGGGTCGCGTAAATCGCTATTACAGGGTTGTCTGTTTTTTGAAAATTTCTTAGTATCTAGTATGAAGGATCTGGAATTGTTTGGTATGGTAATAGGACTTAAAACGTAGACTTATCTCTCTAGGGTTCAAAAGAGAATCATTTGATTACACGCAAAATAAGCTTTATTTTGATATTCTTGATCGATTACTTTTACGACCTATCTTGCAATATATAATTGACTAGCTACTCTCGCGCGGTTTTACCCGCTGCTCGGCTGCTTGATCTTTTATAGCCTATAGCATTCAGGAACATTGTAGCTATCTATCAGTGAAAGAATTTTGGCAATCCGACCAGCGGTTCCAAAGATTACCCCCTACATACAAACTTACAAATTTTACCTCTTTATAATATTAGTTTAATTTGATTTCACATTAATGGGAACCCTTAAAAATTTCAGTATAAAAAAAAACTGAAGAGAAATATATGAAATTATGGCGCTCTGCGAAAGTCAACTCGATTCGGCCTTACCATCCTTAAACAGGGACGAGTCTCCAAACAGCGAAGGAAGTCAGAAGCCGACCCCCGAAAAGAAACCCAAAATGGATCACAATGGAGAAATATATGGGTTGAATCAAGGTAAGGAAATTTCTGGGAATTGGATTCTTTTTACGACCTCTTTTCTTAGATTTAATGCATTCGATCTTAGAAGAAGTTTGAGAGAAGAACAATGATCGCTATGTACTTAAGCATTAAGTGTAAGAGAGCCATGCTTCGGCACGAATGGGTCGGCTCGACCGGAGTGATACCACGGCCTCTTAAAAAACTCGCGTGAAACAACCACAGCGTTGTGTTTCGCCATGTGAGTGAGGTTGCCGGAGTCCCAATCCCTCCCCTTCCCAATCCTTATATCCGCAACCCCCATCCCCAAAAGGCCGGCAACGCACTCGTAACTCCTTTGGTGTTGCGGGTGTCCATGGGCGGCGCCGATTGCTTACCATCAGGTAATCCGTCTGCTCGATTGCCGACTTATACCATAAAAAAAAAACCATCAGGTAATCCGTCTGCTCGTTTGCCGACCTATTACATAAAAAAAGCTTCCCTGAAAATTTCCAGAATTAATAGTTCCTTTTCCAACCACCAGCCGCGCTGCTGTCGCTAATTAGTGTCGTGAAGTTAGCTGTTGATGCTAGCAAGAAGATGAAGTTAGTTGCATAATGTAAACTTCAGCCCGCTTTTATCGACACAATTTAGCGGTCGCAGCGTTTCATTTATTTTGTTTGCTACAGCGATTGTTGTTCTTTTCTCTAACCTCCATAGCATGTATTTTATCATGATTAATTAACATGCATGCATTCATTCATTCATTATTTAGTTCGTTCATTCATTCATTCAAATCGTAATGGAGTTTCTTTCTCGTTCTTCTCCATTCGAAACTACAATTTGGAACGAGCACCTAGCTTCACTGACGAACAGACTGACAGACTACTATTCTATTTTGACGTTTCAAAAACATCTACAGTACGGCCGTATCTTGGCGAGTCTGAAGTTAGCCGTCTGCGCAATGGGTCTTTTAGGAACAAAATTGTGTACTGCGCAGCTAATCGGCTAACTTCAGACTGGTTTAGTTGGAATAAATGATTTTGATTTTATTTGATTGATTCATAAAATACACTTTTAAATAGCATAAATATCCGATATTGCTAGTCAAGCGCAATGATATCCCGCGACCCTGACCTTCAGCAGGATCAAAAACGAGTTGGTTTTTAGTCAGTAAGAGTCTGACACTCCCTCTCGCTTCATCCAGGGCTAGAAGAATAGCTGACATAACTAATACATTCAATCAAATCAAATCAAATCAAAATCATTCATTCCAACTAAACCATAAATATGTACTTTTGAAACGTCAAAATAGAATAGTAGTCTGTCAGTCTGTTCGTGAGTGAAGCTAGGCAAGTAGGCTGCCAGTGCGATACTCGTTTATTCTCTTGAAATGAGCAAAAATGCTTCCTGAGCATACTACATCCTCTCTGATTATAGTCTGCCAACTGATCTTAGATTATAGTAAAAGGGATAACGGTGAACCATGGAGTTTCTTGCTCGTTCTTCTCCATAGGAATCTACACTTTGGAACGAGCAAATAGCTTAACTAGAGGACAGACGGACAGACTGACACGCCTAAAGTTAAAGCTCTTCAAGATACTTTTTTTTTGCTTGACGTTCGAAAGTGCCTAATGTGGTCTAATTGAAATAAATTATTTTGACTTGACTAGGTTTTTTTGAGGATAGAAAATCAACACTATTTAAATTTTGTTTGACGTTCAAAAGTGCCTGTAAAGGTCTAATTGGAATAAATGATTTTTGACTTTGACTTTAACACTTAACTTTTTTGGAGTCTGGATGAAAGGGAGTGTCTCTTACTGACTAAAAACCACCTCGTCCCTTCTACTGCTCCAGGCCGAGGCCTCTGTACATTACTGCACTTGCACACTCCACCCCGAACCCCCGACTAGGTGGAATGACGATTTCCTTTATGTGGATGCGAAGATCTGAATATTGAGATCAATGATGGTATATTGGAGAACACTAGGTCTATTTAGTTACCTATCATTCCTTCCAATTACATCCATGTCAGTGTAAAATAAATTAGAATGTTATTTGCCCTACTGCTGTGCAAAGGAGAAGGAATGAGTCTTCTTCATTCACCATACTCGGTAAAGAAGAAAGAAAGAAGAAAGAAAGAAAGAAAAACCATTTATTACGCCACGACATATAAAAGGAATACAGGTACACACACACACAAAAAGCCCATAGTGCGTTGCAGCGCAAAAGGCTGGAGCTCAGCTTAATACTGTAAGAACAAAATGATAGAAGCTGATTTTGAAGAAAATATATATTAAAATATGGAAGGATTGTGTGAGAAATGATATGGAAGACAGAGGAGTCAGTGATAGCGTGACCGGTGACAGCACAGAATGGAAGAAAAAACATATTGCGCTGACCGCAAATAAGATGGGACAAGGGCAGGAAGATGATGATATATAAAAATATAGCAACTAACTAACTAACAATAAAGCACAAATAAATAAATAAATAAAAAAAACTAATTTTATAAATGCAAAAGTAACTCTGTCTATCTGTCTTTTCTTTACGCAAAACTACTGAACCTATTTGTGTGAAATTTGGTACAGACATTGTTTGGAATTCGAGAAAGGACATAGGATAGTTTTTAAACCAAAAATCTGCAGGAAGTCACTATTCCACGCGAACAAAGTCGCGGGCAAAAGCTAGTAAATAAATTAAAAATATCAATGTTGAGCAGGCAAATCGCTTAAAATATAAAGTGTAAAAAATAAAATTTTGTCAATAATACTTAGTCGGGTCATAAGTTCTGTCACAAACTTTTGATGTAATAACTTATACGCCTTTTGACAATTATTTAAAAATTATATATGAAATGAAAGGTCATTAAATGTACAATATAATTTTATTTACATTATTCGAAATGCCCTCCCCCATTTTGAACACATGCCCTTAATCTACGCGGCCAGTCATCGATCGCTGCACGCACCACATTCATATCTATGTCTGCCGCTGCTTTAACCAGAGATGCTCGGAGAGACTCCAAATTCGGGTGAGGTTTAGCACAGACTTTTTCCTCCAAATATTGCCATATCTTGTAGTCCAGTGGGTTTAAATCTGGACTAGAAGAGGGCCAGTCTTCATGCCGGATGAAGTCAATTCCACGAGCGATCAACCAGTCTTGCGTACTTCGTGCCTTATGAGCCGGTGCAGAGTCCTGTTGGAATATCCAATGCCTGTTCCTGAACATTGTCTGAGAAAGAGGTTCCACTATGTTTGTTAGGACAGTATTTTGATAAACTTCGGCACTAGTTCTCACACCTTTTTCACAGAAAAACACCTCAGTTACGCCTGAATATGAGACTCCAAGCCAAACCATGAATGAGGAAGGGTAATGCCCACGCTGGACCCTCGCAATACGCGCGCTTGCTTCTTCACTGCTGTGGGCATACACCTTATCATTTTGTTTGTTAAAACTTTCTTCAATAGTAAAAATTTTTTCATCCGAAAAAAGAATTTCGCGGTATTTTTTTCCCGCGTACCGTCGTAGCAAAGCGCGGGATCTGTCTAGCCTAATTTTTTTTAAACGCTCGTTCAAAAAATGTCCTGTCTTTTTACGATAAGCTCGTAGTCCCAGGTCTTCATTTAGTACTCTTTTAACAGTGGTTCTGCTTAGCCCCATCTGCAGAGCTAGGATTTTTTGTTTACGTACGGGATTTCGTTCGATTCGCGCCTTCACTGCTTTGATGACCTTATGTGTCCGAACTGTGCGAGGTCGGCCGCTTCTCTTACGATCTTCGAAGCTTGACTCTTCGGTGTATCGTTTGATAGTACGATAAACAAACCGTAACGTTATTTTCAAATTTTGAAGAATATTGAAAATGTCTTTTGGCGCGTAACCACAGCGGTGCAACGCGATAACCGCGATTCTGTCTTCTTTATTCGACCACTCCATATTTAAAAATGAATAAAAAATAATTTCTTTTTTATTTTCTACAAGCGCGAAAGTTCTATTTTTAAAATAAGTCGAAGAATTTCTGGCCAGTAATCGAAAATTAAAAATATAAGGTTTTGACAGAACTTATGACCCGACTAAGTATACATTGAGTTTTTTTTTTGTGCTCTCCGACGTTAAGAAATGTGTTTTTCACATCGTTTTCCTTTATCGTCTGTCCGTGTATACCTACCTACACTTAAAAACTACACATCACATCATGTTGATTCACCATCATTTCATTCAGTGCCAGACTCATGTCCTATTTGAGTTTTTATTATTAACTTTTCTTTTTATTTTATTGTTTGAACTTAACCAAATATTTTCTAATCACCCTAGCTACCTAATCATTTATTTTTAAAATATATATTTTTTCTTTATAACGCCCATAGGTTGCTTTTAAACTCTGTCTGCTGCCTTGTCACGCCTCATTATCCCCTAGATTGCCTATAATCTGTGTCTGCTACAGTGTCACGCCAGACTCATTATCCCATAGGTTGCCTTTAACCTTTGTCTGCCGCATTGTCACGCCTTGCGCCAGACTCATTGTCCCATAGATTGTCTATAATCTGTGTCTGCCGTATTGTCATGTCAGACTCATTATCCCATAGGTTGCTTTTAACTTAGTTTGCCGTAGTGTCACGCCAGACTTATTATCTCATATGTTGCTTTCAACCTGTGTCTGCCGAAGTGTCACGCCAGACTCATTGTTCCATAGGTTGCTTTTAACTTAGATTGCCGTAGTGTCACGGCAGACTCATAATCCCATATGTTGTTTTTAACCTGTGTCTGCCGCATTTTCACGCAAAACTCATTATCCCATATGTTGCTTTCAACCTGTTTCTGCCGCATGGTCACGCCAGACTAATTATCGCATAGGTTGCTTTTAACCTGCTATCCCATTGGTTGCCTTTAACCTGTATCTCCCGCAGTGTCCAGACTCATTATCCCATAGGTTGCTTTTAACCTGTGTCTGCAGAGCCCAGGTTGCTACTGGCCGGTAATTACCGATTGAGAGTTTACTACTTTGTTTCTGCCAGAGCTAATTTAGAACCACTGCCATAAACTATACTTCCGCTTAAAAAAAACCATCGACTTTTGTTGTTGTAAATTTGCTAAGGTCTCCTTCGCTGTATGTTAGCAGTGTTTAAATAACAATTTGAAATAAAAATACTTTCCCCTTCCTATAAATTAATATACCTATAATATCCTTATGCCTTTTGAGATAAATAATACGCATTCGTTCATTAGTTTAGTTCACATATCATATCATTCATGCCACCATCAAAAAATAATTATGTCCTTTCATACGCCAGACACATTGACGCTATTGGTTAATATCAACCTGTGTCTGCCGCAGTGCCTAGCGGGTTGCCACTGACCGTCGACTACCGTTCGCCAGTCTCTCACTTCGTTCCGCCCGAGCTGTACGCGCCCAGACCTAAACAAGAGCCAATAAGCACCGGTGAGCTAATTTGTTTTATTTTTATTTATTTTAAAATGAATAAAAATTGTCCTTAAGGCGATCTAATTGCTGTTGGTACTCCCCACCTATCTGTTCCACTACCACATCCGCCCAGTGGAGATTAGGCAAACGATGATGGAGATGTTCTGGACCCTAAAATGAAGGCCGCTTCCAATAATCGCTTTATCAACTTTTCCCTCGGTTCGTAAGTTTCAAAAAGAATTATCGAAATCGGACTGCTACTTCCAGGGATTAGCTCGTTCAAACAAACAAACAAACAAACAACCAAGCAAACTTTTTGATTTTATAAGGATTCTAAGCCGACTGTGAAGAGTTTTTGCCAGTATTCTAATTTTATTATTCATTGGAATTTCATATCGCAAAATTCTCTTTTGAGCGAGGAAAATCAAAGTTCTCTCGCATTGGGTGAGACGAGAGGGTTTTGAGACTTTGATTGACAAAAAACTATTCAGGTCCTTCTCCTGTTAAGGGCTTGCACCCAGAACCTGACCTGATAGGTGAATATTATAATGATGACGACGTGGTTGAAATCTCTGAGGTTTGCTAGAATCCCTAGAGGAGAGGGCGCAGTTGCCGAGTTTGATACAATAAAATATACGAAAATAGTCATAGGTACTATAATTCATTGATTTGACGATATACAGCTATTGAAATGTGTTTATGACATTATCAAAAGCTTAAGTTTGCTATTGTATAAATTCGTTAAAAATATTATGGTGTCGACAAATTTATCCATAGGATTGAAAATGGCGCCATCTATCGACAACTGTTCGTAAAGTAAAAGATCAGTTAACTGTGCGTTTTAACCGGCTGCCGTGCAACGTGTTGTTGGTTCAATGCTTGCACGGAACTGTGTGATCCACAATTTGTTTTTCCGGGTGTTATGTGTATGTTATATGCTTATAAATGCACCTATGACACATGACAAATCCTTATGTTAGGGACAATTTTTTTTTAGTAATCCAACGCATTGTTAACAATTCTATTTAGGAAATTAAAGACAAACAATATTATTTAAATAATTTTATTTTATTCCAGCAGCGAGTTCGTACACTCCAGAGTCCAGCGAACCTCCAACGCCCGTCAAAAGGAAGCGTGGAAGACCTAGGGTCGACAAGACCAGCCCCGAGTACCTCGCAAATCTGGCCGCACGGAAACAAGCCAAAGAAATGGGTAAATTACCAGGTTTTTTTGACCAGACATCTCTATTATATTTTTAGGAAAAAAAATAATTAGGTTGTTTTGACCAGACACCCTAGCTATTTTATAGGTAAAGTTTTTAATCAGCTTTTTTTAACCAGACATCCAAGTTATTTTGTAGGGAAATTTTTAATCAGGTGCTTTTTGACCAGACACCCTAGTTATTTTATAGGTAACATTTTTAATATGGTTTTTTTCACCAGACACCAAAGTCATTTGATAGATAAATTATTAATCAGGTTTATTTTTTTGACCGCGCACAAAAAATATTTTATACGGATATTCATAATCATTTTTTTTTACTAGACACCCAAATTATTTTATGGCAAAACTTTTGGTCAGTTTCTTTTGACCAGACACTACAGTTATTCTATAGAGCATTTTTAATCGGGGTTTTTTGACCAGACACCCAATTATTTTAGATTTACCAATAATAGTCGAGCAGCGGGTGAAACTGCGCGGTAGTTACTAGTTTATTATTTTTTCGGTACAACAAGAAGAAGAAGAAAAGAAGAAGAAATAATTTTATTTGCACAACCTGGACACGGATACAAAAGTAGATAAAAAAAAAACAGTAAAAAATTAATCAAAACAAAAATAATAATAAAAAAAAAAAAACAGTGATGTGTGTCTCAGCGTTGGACAAATAGGCCCAGTTCAGCTTCGATGCCAAGCGGTTATTGCCTGGCGCTGGTTTTCAACTGGACCTTCAAGTGATCAGATCACGGATGTAACCAGTCCCTGATAATATATTATAACATTAAAGAATTAAATAAAAGTAAACAGATAAATATAAATGCTAAATTGGTGATAAATAAATATGTGTTGTGTCGTGTGATTTGAGTAGGTGTGTATGTGTGAGTGTAATTGAATATGATAGCGGACAACAAAACTAGGATCGCAATACAAGCGAGTCAAAAACCTGTTTCATTTATCTAACTAAGAGACAATAAATATCAACAGACCGATATTTTGCTCCCCTCGCAACCCAATACGCAACAGGCATCCGTGCGCAATGGACTGCTGTTTGATTTTTTTAAATCTAAATTATGGTGGTAGAATGAAAATCTATGGCGATAGAATATAGTACAACATCGATTGGTCCTCTATTTTCTCTCTATGTTAAGAATGTTAGTACAACGGCCGGGCCTGTCTCCCCGAGCTCTCAGCACGGAGGAGTCTCTCTATGTCAAGAATGTTAGTACAACGGCCGGGCCTGTCTCCCCGAGCTCTCAGCACGGAGGAGTCTCTCTATGTTAAGAATGTTAGTACAACGGCCGGGCCTGTCTACCCGAGCTCTCAGCACGGAGGAGTCTCTCTATGTTAAGAATGTTAGTACAACGGCCGGGCCTGTCTACCCGAGCTCTCAGCACGGAGGAGTCTCTCTATGTTCAGAATGTTAGTACAACGGCCGGGCCTGTCTCCCCGAGCTCTCAGCACGGAGGAGCTCTCTATGTTCAGAATGTTAGTACAACGGCCGGGCCTGTCTCCCCGAGCTCTCAGCACGGAGGAGTCTCTCTATGTTAAGAATGTTAGTACAACGGCCAGGCCTGTCTCCCCGAGCTCTCAGCACGGAGGAGTCTCTCTATGTTAAGAATGTTAGTACAACGGCCGGGCCTGTCTCCCCGAGCTCTCAGCACGGAGGAGTCTCTCTATGTTGAGAATGTTAGTACAACGGCCGGGCCTGTCTCCCCGAGCTCTCAGCACGGAGGAGTCTCTCTATGTTAAGAATGTTAGTACAACGGCCGGGCCTGTCTCCCCGAGCTCTCAGCACGGAGGAGTCTCTCTATGTTAAGAATGTTAGTACAACGGCCGGGCCTGTCTTCGTCTAAAAACCTAACCAAAACTGTTGGGAACCACGGGGAAAACTACTTTAGTATATGTATATGCATATTTGACGTAGCAAAATAGTCTAATTAGCTATTCAACTAACGGGGTTAAGGACACATCTTTTAATTTATATTGGTACCTGATGGTAAGCAATCAGACATCACAGAAGTTACGAGTGCTTGCCTTTTGGGGATTAGTGTTGGGACGGGAGAAGGATTGGACCTCCGGTAACGTCACTCACGTTTTCCAAAAGTTGTGGCGGGTTTGTCCCATAAAAAAAACCTATTCGCCTCCAGTTTTATAATCAGAACCGCTGAGGAGTTGAATTCTTTGCCGGAGTCTTGTTCCCCGAAGGGTATAACCTGGGTGTCTTCAAGGCCCGAGTGAATAGGTTGCTTATGGGTAGGCGTACTCCATCGTAGGTCACATCATCACTCAAGGGGCGTCCATAAATTAAGTGAGGTGTTTAAGGGGGGGGGGGGGGGGGGATCGAGTCAAATCTCATCTAATCGTCTCGGCAAATATCACGCAATTTTTTTTCTGATTGAAACAAAAAAAAATATACTACATATTTTGGTCTATTTAATCCAGATTGTACATGCTTAAGATTTAATCTTAAGCGTAATCTTAATACGATTAAGATCATTTACTAATAAAAGGACGATGCAAATTTGTTTTTTTTTCTTTTTACAATAACAATACGACGCGTTTACGTAAGAAACTCACATTTTGAAAAATCTCACGTGAGATTCGGGGTTGGGGGAGGGGGTTGGATAAAATCTCAAGACATCTCACCGTAATTTATCACCTAATTTATAGACGCCCCTTTACAACCAGCCGTAATAGTGGTCAAAGACCGACCTATTCCAATAATAAAATAAAACTAACTAAGGCATTTAAAAACCTATGAATTATTAATTAAATTGATTAATCTATTGTAAATTCAAAACTGCCAAAGTTTTCTTTATTTGATTTTTCTTATGTTTTTTTCTTTATTTTTTTGTTTTCAGCGGCAATGATGAATAATCGGACCCCGGAAAGCGGGGAGAAACGTAAGCGTGGACGTCCACGCGTGGACAAAACGAGCCCAGAGTACCTAGCTAGAAAAAAAGCTAGGGAGTTAGGTAAATTTTTTTCAACTTTTTTTTTTCTCTTTTTTACACAATTTTTTTTCGTTTTTTTTTTGCGATTGGCTTTTTTTATTAACTTACTAACTGGCCTCCTTGGTGATTTTCTTTTTGGTGATTAAATGTCGTTTTGTTAATACTAACCACTTTTTGTATATACTTACATCACGGTGTTTTTGTAAATATTTTTTTCGTTTGTATTACATAAACTGTACATATTATATGTTTTTAGCACTAATCAAGACTTTCTAACACGTCAAAATTCTATTTTCTATAATGTATTTATAGCAGTGATAATCCCATCGGATTATGTTGAGTAGTTTTTGGGTTGGATGCGTTCAAACGTGTAAACAGACTGATAAATCTATATCCAGTTGATTTTAGGTACAAATCTATTCAGTCTGTTAGTTAGAAGAAAAATATTATATTTTCCTATATTTTCTAAGAAACGTATCATTTTCTTAAATATTTTGTAGTTTAAAAAAACAATAGCGTAGATTCTTATGGAGAAGAACGAGTAAGAAACTCAATGGTTACTCTTCAAAAATATAAGTTTTATAAGTTCACGAATACATTCTACAAGGGTTAGGTAATTGGGTAGTTTCCTAGGTCATTATTTCGACGTTTCAACACAATAAAATATTGAAAAATAACCTACAAGTACTTTTATTCATCGATCTGTCGATACACTCAATCTTTATATATAGAAAGAAAGAAAGAAAGAAAGAAAGAAAGAAAGAAAGAAAGAAAGGAAAGACATTTATTCAGCACCAGGCTCGATGCAGCATATAAAAAGACAAAAAAAAAGTGTGACAGTAGAAGTAAGATAAATATATAAAAATGGATTGCAAAATGTGTTGGTAAGGTAACCCGCATTTTGCTAATTCTTTTTTTGTTGTGTTTGTTATTGTCAGGAGGAGGTTCTTATCAAAGAAAATATTAGAAAAGTAGAGGGGAAGCTTAGGAAAAAGTGACCCTTTGATAGCTATATAGGACCCGTGCGAAACGGAGGCGGGCCGCTAGTTTTAGATAATTTTAAAGAAATAAGTAAGCTATTTGACATAAAAAATCTATGTCGTCATAACTCAGTTTTTCATAGAAATTTCATAGAAAAGTATCGTTTTTGAAATTCGTATAAAAGTATTGAATTTGACTAGTTGGAAACTACCGTATTGTAGATTCGTATGTAGAAGAACGAGTAAGAAAATCAGTAGATGCTCTTTTAAAAAATATATGTTTTACAAGTTTACGAATACATCCTGCATAGGTTGGGTAATACAAATCAAGGAATGGGCGCTAGTCATGTCATCGCTCTTTCTCTTGCTATGAATTAACAAAAGCAAATATAGAATAATAGTCAGTCAGTCTGTTCGCCAGTTCAGTGAAGCTAGGTGCTCCTTCCAAACTGTAGATTTGTAGGTAGAAAAACTATCGAGCTATTTTAAAAAATATATGTTTTACAACTTCACGAATACATCTTAAATAGGCGAGGTGCGAATCAGGCATTAAAAACTGTAGTGCCTTGTGGTTCCCGGTAGTTTTCAAACAGATACATCATCATCATCAGCCTCCACTGCTCTACAAGGGCCTCTCCAATTGATTAGTTTTCTAGGTCAAAAATAAATTAATTCGACGTTTCAATACAATAGAATTTTGAAAAATAACCTATACATACTTTTATTTCATAGAATTATTTCATAGAAAAGTATCGTTTTTGACATTTGGATAAAAGTATTGAATTTGACTAATTGGAAACTACCGTATTGTCGATAATGTTGTCAAATGTGGAATCATTGCCGGGGTTGCGGGGTAAGCGCAATGAGGCACCGCGACCTTGGCCCAGAGCAGGAGAAGGAACAGGGGGGTTTTTATTCAGTAAGAGTCTGACACTCCCTCCCGCCCGGCCCGGGGCGGGAGAAGGCATTGATGATTTTCCCCTCACAAAAAAAAATGTGAAATGTAGAATCATAACATAAATATTGAGTTGGATGTTATATCGAAATCCAAACTAATATTATAAATGCGAAAGTAACTCTATCCGTCTATCTGTCTGTCTTTTCTTCACGCCTAAACTACTGAATCTATTTGTGTGAAATTTGGTACAGACATAGTTTGGAACTTGAGATAGGACATAGGATAGTTTTTATACCAAAAATCTACAGGAAGCCACTATTCCACGCGAACAAAAGCTAGTATCCTATATAATGTGATCTCTGCTTACTCCCGAAACATGAATTGAAGTTTTTTCTCTCTTTCCTTGCACCCCAGATGGACCTGCATCACCTGATGGTAAGTTTATTAAGTGCATGATGAAAATATATAGCTTTTTATGCGATAAATTGGGTATTCCACTTCTGTACAAAGCTTTCGCTTTCAAAACAATTCTTTGTGTGATCCACAAATTGTTGTTCCGGGTAAGAAAAACAGAATTCGATTTTTTTTAATGATAGGTATTGTGTTTTTACAATCTGTGACATCTTTTTTTATTCTAACTATCCCATAGCGGGCCTGCTGGAAGAGATTTCTGAAGTAATTACCTCTGCCCTTGTACCTAATTGTTGTCTTATTCTTTCTTGTATAACTTAATGTGTACATAAACTGTTTAATAAACAATTACTTCATCAAATCCCAAGCGAACGCCGGCGTTCGCGTTGTCTCGAACTACCACGATTAAAAGTCAAAGTCAAATCATTTGTTTCAAATAGACCACAACCCGCACTTTTGAACGTCAAGCAACAAAAAAATATATATCAAAAGGTTTAACTTAATGCGTCTGTCGGTCAGTCTTCCAGTGAAGCTATTTACTCGTTTCAAAGCGTGTATTCCTATGGAGAAGAACGAGCAAGAAACTCCATGGTTACTCTTTTTAAATCAGTTTCACAATTCATTTCTTTGTTACATCATTAAGTCGGTTTCATTATGTAAGAACAGTGTAACACTCATATTCAGCCAAAGAAAGAAAGGATAAATTAAATATTATAAAGATAATTCTGGTCTGTCATTTAAACTTGTGTAAGAACCAATTAAAGAAAAATTGTTTTCTGATTTTTTTCTTTTTATTTACAGAAGCGTTGGAGAGGAAAGCCAAACGAGAATATAAACGACGAGCTACAGGAGGTTTGTATTTTTGTTGTTTCTTTGTAAAGGGTGTAGAAAAAATTCAAACTTTACATAATGATATTTTGGATAGGGATCTAGATTTTAAATGTCTTAGTGCTAATTCTTTTATGGTTAGATAAAAGTTATCTGCGGAATAATTATGATGCTGTTGCATCACAATGTTTGTATAAGACAGTGACAGCAACAATTTTATTCGTCAGATAACATTTATCCGACTATCGAAAAATCAGCCCTTAGACGAGTGATTCTATGTCGACGGTTAACCATAGATTATGAAATTTGTTTCTAAATCTCCCCCCTTTTGACATATCACATTGGGCTTATAAGGAGTGAAAAATGAGAAAAAAAATAGTAAAAAGTTGCTTTAGGAAAGTTAATTGTTATTATAAGTACAATCGTGTGATTAAATATCGGTCACTCTATATAAGTAACATTAAAAAATCCATTGATTTTTCTCCTTAAGCTAGACAAAACCATTGTAACTTGATCTCATTGATCTTGAACGTCTTTTTTCGAGTTTGGTTTATTACAAGCAGTCTTTAATACGTCTTTGGCACTAGTTATAATGGTTTTGGAAAGCTTAATGTGTGTACATAGCAATTCAAGGTCATATTTCACCAATTTTGTAATAAGTCATACCTACTTTCAGTTTTAAAGGTCGATATCAAAAGTTAATGTCAAAATTGTATGTCAATGTCAAAGTCAACATGTCAAATATGACAGTCCGAAGTTGAAATCAAAGAAGTATGGAATCAAATACATTTTGCAAAAAATATCTACCTACTTCCAGTTTTAAAGATGGCAATTAAAAGTTAATGTCAAAGTCAAAGTCACAATTGCAAATGTCAAAAATTACAGTAAGTTGAATTGTCTAGGGTCAAGCTCGCATGTCATACTTGCTAAAAAAGACAAGTGGAATACAAAGTCGAGTCTTTGCAAAAAAAAAATATAAAACTTCATAATTTGTAATATTAATATTAAAAGCTAATATAATGTGTGATAAGGTAATTTATAACTTACACATAAAAAAACTTAAACAGAAAACTTTGGTTTTGTCTTTCAAAATTGGTGACATAGGACCAATTGCAGAATTAATTCATTGCGTTGCGTGGCACTTGGTTTTGTAATGACATGAAAATAACTCAACTCAGTTGCTAAGTAAGGGTGTTGCCACCTTAATATCGCTGTATAAAGTATGATACTAATATTATAACATTGCATTTTTCGCATTTTGCAAGAATGGAGCAATAGAAAATACAAATTATTGATTTCTGACCAAATTATTCAATCCACAACGGGCCTGTTTCGTTACTATCACGAGTGAAGTCGCAGGCAAAAGCTAGTTAATAATCATCTTTTGGTGGTTAGTGAACGCTAATGATAAGATATCGAACAAAATATATTTTTAATTAAGAGTACTTTGCTTTCTTGCTCCATTGTTGCATAAAATTTTATTGCTAACACTAAAATTTGAACGTTATTGCAAGATTGAATTTAGAAAGAAAAGATATCTATTTGGAAATGGCGTATCACATCTAACGCTTAAAATATCTTGGTATTTTCACTAAAAACTTACACTAACACAATGTAAATGTAAACACTTACATTGTGTTTCGCCATGTAAGTGAGGTTACCGGAGGCCCAAATCTTTCCCCTGCCCCCATCCTACCAGAGGCCCAATTCTTTCCCCTGCTCCCATCCTACCGGAGGCCCAATTCTTCCCCCTGCTCCCATCCTACCGGAGGCCCAATTCTTCCCCCTGCTCCCATCCTACCGGAGGCCCAATTCTTCCCCCTGCTCCCATCCTACCGGAGGCCCAATTCTTCCCCCTCCCCCATCCTCAATCCTTAAATCTCTAATAACCAACAAGAGAGTGTGCGCAGGAATTGCACGATTTGATTCCGCCATCCCCATTTCACTTTCGGACATCCTGGCGTACGGCAAATATCCACCCTTACGTTGTTGAGACACCTGCGGCCCGTTTTGCCTCTTCATTTATACCGCGTACATAGAGGGATTGGAACAGTTTGCCGGCTGCAGTCTTTCCGTCCAGTCAGTCCAGTTAGGTGTCTTCAAGGCTAGAGTGAATAGGCTCTTAATAAACTAGTGCGCCTTACCATCAACGATTGCATCACTGCTTACCGCAAAAAGAGGCCGGCAATGCATTTGTAGTAACTCCTTTTGCAATACGTGTATCCTTGGACGGCGATGATTCCGTCTCTCGTTTGCCGGCCTATTACATAACAAAAAAAACAGGACTATTCTTCTCTCTCCCTATCCTATTAAAAATCCTCAAATCCCTAACACACCAACAAAAGGTATATAGAAACTTCTTTATTGGCACGTGTGTCCATGAGTGGCATGCGCTGTTCTGGTCTTTTCATGGTTGCACAGCTGTTCCAGCAGTTGATGGAGCAACACTTACATCGTGTTTCGCAAGCCTTCCCCCCATCATCAATCCTCAAATCCCCTATCCTTAAATCCCTATTAACACACAAGAGGCCGGCAACGCACTTGTAGCAATACCTTTGGTACTACGAGTGTCTATGGGCGGCGCTGATTGCTTACCATCAGGTAATCCTTTTGCTCTTTCGCCGAATTATGACATAATATTATACAATACTAAATGATCTTGCAGTAACGTTTAAAAGCTTTTTCGTTCATTAAAACTAACAAAAAACATTCACCCTTAGCAAAAGTCCCGAAAACATCATTACCACTCGCATCGCGCATCAAAAAACGATCGATACCGGCGAATAAAAAAAAGAACAATGTTGCCATACGGAAAATTCCGGCGAAAGTTGGCAACACTATACGAAAGGTCGGGGATAAAAAGGTTTTAGTGAGGCGTTCTAACAAATTTATTAAGAGGAAAGGTAATTGTTTATGGTTATGGAAATTATTGTCTGTTTTATTGTATGTAGGTATATATACCTATGTTGGTTGGTTTTTGAAGTGGTGAGGTTTTTTTGGATTTTTTTTGACTACCCTTTTTGTGTTTGGTGTGTGAATGCTTGTTCTAGGGGTTGAAAATATGATAGAGGTTTCTTTTTGACCGGATTATTTCCAGGAATTATTCTTATAATCTGTAGTTTCTGCAAATATGAGAGATTTTTTTAAGATTCTCAATATTTCACAAAATTTAGAAAAAGTCAATGTTGTAAGTATGAAATCGCTCCATCTTGAGAAAGCGTGGTGATTTATGCTCAAACTTTCTCCGTGTGAGAAGAGGCCTTTGCTCAGCAGTAGGCACTTATAGGCTGATGATCAGATAGCCAGAAGTAGGTACTTCACCCAGAGATGTATGAATGTGATGTCCGCTGTAAGCACTGGCTGGAAATGATGATGAGGATGAATTTTATGTGCAGTTATGAGGTGTATGTATGGGCGATTCTGCAACAATGTTATTGTCCTCATAATAAAAATGATTTTGAAAAAAAAATAGTTGAAAAAGGAATCTACTAAAAAGATTAGTGTTATTTACTCCTTGACATGCTTAACCACAGATAATAGTACATTATGGTAGAAGTGTGTAATGTTGGCGGTTACCGCTGAGGCTTGAGGGTCTTACAGAGCCAAAGACCGGAGGCCCAATCCTTCCCCTCCCCCAATCCCTCCTAAATCCCTAATCCCTAAAAGGTCGGCAACGCACTCGTTACTCCTCCGTTGCGGGAGTCCATGGGCGGCGCTGATTGCTTACCATCAGGTAATCCGTCTGCTCGTTTGCCGACCAATAACATAAAAAAAAAGTATCCAAGATCCAAGTCTTTAAATAATAATACAGAGACTAACCCATTACAATAGTACATTATGGTAATCATCAATACACAAGTGTATAATACGACGGTTTTCGGTGTCTTTTTTTTATTTAATAGGTCGGCAAACGAGCATACGGATTACCTGATGGTAAGCAGTTGGTAAGCCTCTTTGAGACGGCACGTATTGTGAGGTCTTTGGAGCCCTAACCACCGGCAGCTTGGACCATGTTCCAGCTGGCTGATCCCTATATTTATAATAATATTTAAAAAATAAATTTAGAATTATATAACAAATTATTTTTAAGATTATTCGGAGAATCACCCGTTTACTGAATGCCACCGTGATAACGATGAGGGGAAGTCAAAAAAATCCAATATGGCCACTTCAAATTCAACCTAATTTAATATAGTATGCATGAGAGTAGATTCGAAACGTTAATCGTGTTTTGGTAGAATTTTGTTTGGTATTTTTTCTGTTGGTAATTTTTGTTGGTAGTTTTTTTAGGAGGAATGATTCGGTGTTTTCTTCTTTTTCTTTTTGATATAAACGTTAGGAGGAATGGCGTTTTTTTTTCAGCGTCGCGGACAGTGTCTCGTCTTTTTTTTAATATAGTCAGTTGATTTTTTTACGAAAGGATTAGATTTTTTTGGCGTTTTTTTAAGAACGACTTATTCTAATGAATTAAATGAGAACAAGCGTAGTGTATGCTCAAACCTTCTCCGTGTGAGAAGAGGTCTTTGCTCAGCAGTGGGCACATATAGGCTGACGATGATGATGTTGAATGAAGCCATGTCTTTCACCATTTTTCGCCCAACAAGGAACTTGCACGGTTCTCACACATTATTTAAATAAATTATTTGTATTTGTATATTATTTTTCACATTGTCTGGCATTTTTCTCATAGTCATATGAACAATGCCGGCTTTATCTAGTTCTTTACGTATAATGTTGACGTGTAAAAGTGCTGTTTTATGGTCAAATACATTCATTGTTTCATTGTTTTAATGGTTACTGTGTCTTTTCTGGATGAAATTTTATTTTATTACTTGCATAATTGGTTAGGGTAGTTTTCTAGGTCAAAAATAAATTAATTCGACGTTTCAATACAATTAAATATTGTAAAATAACCTATAACTATTTTATTCATCGGACTGTCGATAAATTAAATTTTCAATAAGTAATATTTTTAGCTAATTTTTCGAAATTAGTCAAGCTATTTGACGCTCATATACAATGATGTCATAATTTAGACTTTCATAGAAACGTATCGTTTTTGACGTTTGGATAAAAATATTGACTAATTTGACTAGTTGGAAACTACCGTATTGTGAATCTCCTTGGAATAAGAAGCATGCAATATCATTACATTTTAAATCATTCTGTTTTTATTTTATTTTTAGTGCACGGCTTTTTTCATGTAGATTAATGTCTGAAATTTTCTTTGCATCCATTTTTTGTTTTCATTTTACAAGTATCTATATACCTTTGGTTGACGCGGTTCCCGTAATTTCTGAACTGAACTGTACCGGGTCTAGGTGTGATGTGTATGTGAAAATGTATGTTTGTAAACGCATCCACGACACAGAAAATCCTATTGTCAATGTCAAAAAAAAGTAGCATGCTTTTAGAAATTTTTGACATGTGTATTGCTAAAAAAAATTCTGGATGCTAGCTCGGGGTTGATAGGAATGCTCACTGGGACTTATAACATTACTAGATATACATATTCATAAGTCTGCCTACTCCCTTTGGGGGGTTACAATGGCGTTATGCTATGGCAAACAGTTAATAAATAACTTAAATATATTGAAAATCACGACTTGCCCACGTGAATTAAATAAGAAAAGCTCCTCAAATTACTACCAACATCGTCGTAGCCGCGACGCTCACGCTGCTCGTGAATAAGAGTCCCGGTGTAACTTGAAACTAGTCGAGCTTTTCTCGAATAATTCACGTGTGTAACTATTTTTAAGAAACTGTTGTACGTATGTCTCACGACATTTACTAGTCAATGTTATTAGGTTTTTTTTTTCTTATAAAGATAGCTGTCATAGAGCTGCATGGTAATTTAGTGTTTATTCCAACGTGAATATGGTCCAAAGTTATTATTTTTTTTATGTAAATACTGTTAATCAACTGATTTTCAACTCTATGTCTTAAAACAAAACGCTTATAATTTGGTAACTTACTAAAATGAAGAAACTGAGAAAAGCTCGGGACGGTACTCATTTTCTTCATTCATTACCATAGTGTGCGTGAAGGCGGGAGTAATTCGCTATTTTCAATATTTTTTCATAATTGTTACTATACAAAAAACAGTGGACAAATCTTAACTCGCGGCTCAGTTCCAATTGGTCGTAACGTGATGTTTTATGTAGCCTATAGCTTACCTTTATAAATGGACTATCCGACACAAAAAGAATTCTCCAATTCGCGCTTAAACAAACTCTTCAGTTTTTTTTAAATCTACTAGCTCTTACCCGTGGCGTCGCTCCCGTCATTTGACTATCTACCCTACTCTACCTACCCACTTTTTACCCATAAAAATCAATGCCACTTTTCGTTGTAATGTAATTATAATTCAACAATGCCTTTACCGATTTGACTAATATCAGTTTTGAATTATTATTCGTTGAAGTTCTGAAAAGGACCGTACTTAGAAAACATTAAAAAAAAACTTGAAAACATGTAAAATCGACAAACACTCGATCGGAGAGATTTTATTGGCTGGTCGCTATAATATACAAAAGGGCGTACCTACAAATTTATTTAAAAACTAAGGCAGGATAAAGCTATGCCGTTAAATATGACAAAAATCAAAAAAATAATACAAAAATGGCTATATTATTATATTCGCTGTAAGGATGCCAAATTGTTCAGAATACCTGAATCTGTTACACTGCGATCTCTGACGCCGCTTATGTAGAGCAGTTTTTTGCCCACCTTTAAATATATTTGAAAATCAGTTGATCATAAATAAAATGCATTATAGTACGTATGTCCAAGGTAATAGGATTCTAAATCGTACTGCTTTATAGATTCTGCCGCTTCGTCGTCCGCCGGAGAGACAACTCCACGGACCAAAAGAAAATACACCAAAAGAAATCCGAGCACTAAGAAGGATGCAGTGAGTATAATTTTTTGTTAAATAGTCGGCAAACGAGCAGACGGTTTACCTGATGGTAAGCAATCGGCGCCGCCCATGGACACCCGCAACTCCAAAGGAGTTAAGAGTGCGTTGCCGGCCTTTTGGGGTTGCAGATATAAGGATTAAGAAGCTATACAGGAGGGGCAGGGATTGGGCGTCCGGTAGCCTCACTCACACGGCGAAACACAACACTGTGGTTGTTTCACGCCAGTATTCTGTGAGGCCGTGGTAGCCGACCCATTCGTGCCGAAGCTTGGCTCTCCAACACTTTCTATGTTACTTGTATCCACACTAAAAGTAACACTTATTATGTAAGGGGCAATGTAAAAATCAAAAAGAAAAAATACATTTTTTTTTTCAATTAGACCCTTACAGGCACTTTGGAACGTGAAACAAAGCTTAAAGATATTAAGTATCAGTCTGACGGTCAGTCCTCTTAGAGAAGCTATTTACTAGTTCCAAAGTGTACATTCCTATGGAGACTTCTGGTATTATTATATTCAGTGATTAATGCTCAAACCTTCTCCGTGTGAGAAGAGGCCTTTTTTCAGCAGTAGGCACTTATAGGCTGATGATATATGTGTGTTGTTTCAACAGAATCCGTCGACGGAACGCGTGAAGGGCAAGCGCGGTAGACCGCGGAAAGTGGACCAGCTCGCTGCGAACAACAAAACTCAACAACAGCCCAGTGAGTACCTTCTTAATATACTTAGCTAGCTCTTACCCGTGGCTTTTCTTGGCCGTCATTTGACTACCTACACTACCCTACCTATACTATCTGCCCTTACCTACCTACCCTACCTTACTTACTCTACCCTCATCCAGTTCTTAGCTAATCCCCCTAACAATTTTCAGCAAATTGCCACCAAGCGGCTTTAGATTCAGTGGAAAGGCGTGCAAAGAGGCTTATTAGTGATCCAGATTTGGTTGGGTCCAATCTTCAAAGTCTCGAGCACAGGCGCAGAGTAGCCAGCCTTGTGGTTTTCTACAGGATGCATTTTGATTCCGCCATTTCGATTTCACCTTCGTACATCCCGGCGTACGGAAAATATCCACCCTTACGCTGTTGAGACACCTGCGGCCCGGACTAAGCGTTTTGCCTCGTCATTTATACCGCGTACATCGAGGGATTGGAACAGTTTGCCGGCTGCAGTCTTTCCGTCCAAATATAATTTAGGTGTCTTCAAGGCTAAAGTAAATAGGCTCTTAATAAACTAGCGCTCCTTACCACCAACGATTGCATCACTGCTTACCATCAGGTGGGATCGCAGTCAAGCACTAGGTTATTGCAAGTCAAAACAACAAATCGGTTCAGCCGTTCTTAAGTTATAAATAGTGTAACTAACACGACTTTCTTTTATATAGATAGATTAGCTCGAAATAATGCTGATACTAAAATTCTCCACTATTTAATGGATGTTAATATACATATTAACCTTCCCATTCGATTGAATACATGAATAACACACACAATAATTCTATCACAATAAATATAATCTGTTTATCTACGAGCAGACGGATTACCTGATGGTAAGCAATCGGCGTCGCCCATGGACACCCGCAACAAACAAGGAGTTACGAGTGCGTTGCCGACCTTTTATGAATTCGGGATTGAGAAGGGATTGGGGGAGGGGAAAGATTGGGCCTCCGGTAACCTCACTCACACGGCGAAACACAACGCTGTGGTTGTTTCACGCCGGTTTTCTGTGAGGCCGTGGTATCACTCCGGTCGAGCCGACCCATTCGTGCCGAAGCATGGCTCTCCCACATTTAAATTATTTACGTATAAGACGCATAAGCGAATACAACACAAACATATTGTTACGTGCCTGACGTCACGTTCCTGACTATGCGGGCTTGGGTTACGGGATTGGATGAAATGAAACACTAATACCGGTTTTCAGACTTTCTATTGCACTTAAGTTACAGCGTCCACGGAGTTAAGTTATCGGCGTTCCTCTCCAGCAGAGTCCGGCCGACTGACACAACTTTGCCGTTCACGCTGACTTAACTCACTTAACTGACTGCACTTCACTATTTCACTGCACTTCACTATTTCACTCACTTTTCTTCTTTCTCACTTCTTCCTTTTCTTCCGAATCGCTTTAGACTTAGAACTCAACTGCCAGCGGTGAGCCGCAGTTCCGCTTATATACCCCCGGTCAGGTTCTAGAACATTCAATTTCGTTATTCTTTTTGATCGTCATGCCTCCAGAATCTTCCAATAATTTCGTTATTCATTTTTATTTATTCTTCTTCTCGCTCCTTAATTTTTCATCACTTTCACTCAAATATTCCAGAAAGTTCGACAAAACTTCCATCAACTAAAAAACTTCATGTTTACGGCGGGACTCGAACTCGGGGTCTCTGTGGTGTAATCCACACGCCTTACCGATTACACCAACTCGTGTTGACAATTCACGACGAAATTTACAATCTCTAGGCAACGTTTGACAACCATCCATTGACGTCATGATGTCAAAGAGTTTTCTGTCACACTGCCCCCCTCTTAGATTCGCTCGTCCCGAGCATCGTTGCTGCCGTAATACCTCGCCAACCTGTCTATATGGACAACTTTCAAAGGGCTCCTTGAAGACTTCCGAATTCTGTAAGTAATGTCATTGATCTTCGTGACTATCTCGTAAGGACCTTCCCAACTCGGTTGCAGCTTTGGAGATTTTCCCTTCCTTCTGACTGGATTATGAAGCCAGACCAATGACCCCTCTTCAAACCCAACAGAATTGGCTCGTCGATCATAGCGCGTCTTTGCGCGATCACTAGCTTGAAGACCGGCCTCCCTGATCTGCTCATAAATGTCCAACATTTTTGCCCTTAACTCGCTTATGTAATCGCTAAACTCGGTGCGAGAATCACCAGGTGGACAGCCCGATACAAGATCTGCCGGTAATCTCAATTCCCTTCCAAAATTTGCAAATGCAGGCGTCTTTGCGGTACTTTCATGTACAGCAGTCCGATAGGCAAGCAAGAAGAGAGGTATGTAAGTGTCCCAATCTCTCTGATGGCTGTCAACCACCTTTGCTAAGTGTCGCTCCAATGTTTGGTTGAAGCGTTCGACCATTCCATCTGACTGTGGATGATAAGGGGTCGTTCGAGTCTTATGGATTCCCAAAAGTTTACAAGTTTCCTGGAAAACTTGGGATTCAAAGTTCCGTCCTTGATCACTGTGCATCTCCAAGGGCACTCCGAATCGGGTGAATACCTCGTTTACCAACTTCGTGGCTACAGTTACTGCCTCTTGATTCGGTATGGCAAAGACCTCCGGCCATTTTGTAAAATAATCCATAACCACTAAAACGTAGCGATTGCCCGAATCAGTGATTGGAAATGGTCCAGCGATGTCTAAGGCTATTCTCTCCCAAGGCATACCAACATTGTAGATTTTCATCGCCCCTCTGCTTCTTGTTTGTGGACCCTTGACAGCTGCACAACTAGTGCATTTCCGGCACCAATCTTCGACGTCATATTTGCAATGCAACCAATAAAACCTCTCCTTGATCTTCACCAAAGTCCTCCTAATTCCCAAATGTCCTCCAGAAGATCCATCATGGAACGCTTTTAATACATCCCTTATTTTTGAACGAGGCACCACCAATTGCAAATGCTCGTCCCTGCCGTTTGTTGATTCCCATTTCCTGCACAGAAGTCCGTTATGCAGCGTGAGGCTTTTCCACTGTGCCCATAAACCTTTCGTTACCGCGCTATATTGGGCGACGTCACTCCAACTTGGCTTGTTACCACTTCGTAGCCACTCCAGTATTGGTTTGATATCTGCATCTCTTTCCTGTTCTAATTTCATCGCATCATCTCCCCATGCCTCGTCAACAGTATCAGTCCTTATCACCTTAAGAAAAGCAGTTTCCTTCTTGGCACAATGCTTGCAATCTTCCACGCATGGGCGTCTCGATAATGCATCTGCGTTGCCATGAATTCTTCCGCCGCGATGTTCGATTTCAAAGTCAAATTCCTGAAGTTGTTCCAACCATCTGGCTACTTGGCCTTCGGGATCCTTAAACTGAAGCAGCCATTTCAAAGCAGCGTGATCAGTTCTGATCAAAAATTTCCGTCCCAGTAAATACTTCTTGAAATGGTGCAGAGTTTTGACTACGGCCAGCAATTCCCTCCTGGTCACGCAATAATTCTTCTCCGGCTTGGATAGTGACTTGCTGAAGTAAGCAATAACCTTCTCCTGCTCACCATCGCGTTGTGAAAGGACACCTCCTATTCCAATATTGCTGGCATCCGTATCAACTACGAATATTCCTTTCGCGCTGGGGTATCCGAGAATTGGTGTGTTACAAAGCCGTTCTTTTAGTTCTCGAAAGGCTTGCTCACAATCCTCGTCCCAGATAAAGGCACGTTTCTCCTCTGTCAATCGATGCAAAGGCTTGGCAATGTCCGAGAATCCTTTCACAAACCGCCGATAATACGAGCACAATCCAAGAAATGCCCGAACTTGCGTTTTGTCTTTAGGTGTTGGCCATTCCTTAACAGCGGCAGTCTTGGCTGGATCAGTCTCAATTCCTCTCTCAGAAATAACATGTCCTAGATAATTCACTTCGCGCTTGAAGAAAGAGCATTTCTTTGGACTCAACTTTAAATTTGCTCCACGCAGCTTATCGAGTACCTTTTCCAATTTCCTTAGATGATCGTCAAAATCCCGTCCAACAATGATGATGTCATCGAGGTAAACTAGGCAGGTTTCGCCCAGCAGTCCCGCCAGCACCTGTTCCATCAAACGCTCAAAGGTTGCCGGTGCATTGCATAATCCAAATGGCATCACCTTAAATTGCCAGAGTCCCTTCCCAGTTGAGAATGCGGTCTTTTCCTTGTCCTTGGGATCCAAATCCACCTGCCAATAGCCGCTTTTCAGATCGAGCGTTGAAAACCATTTCATGCCACTCAGTGTGTCAAGTGTGTCATCGATTCTTGGTAACGGGTAGCTATCCTTCTTGGTTACATCATTCAATCGTCGATAGTCTACGCAAAACCTCGTTGAACCATCTTTCTTCTTGACAAGCACGACAGGTGAACACCAAGGGCTAGAAGAGGGCTCTATCACGTCATTTTTCCTCATATCGTCAATCATTTCTTCAACCTCTTTTTCACGAGCGAATGGTATGCGTCTGGGCCTTTGACGAATTGGCATTGTATCACCTGTGTTTATTTTATGCTTCACTAAACCAGTTCGGCCAATATCACCATCGCTTCTTGAAAACACATCAGAGAATCGAAGAAGTAAATTTCTAGCTTTCATAGTCTCCACTTTTGTCAGACTTTTGTTTTCGTCTAAGATTTTCGTTACAAAGTCTATTCCCGTACTGTCCTTCTTCACAAGATTCTCCGAGCATTTTCTTATCCAGGCCACTTCTTCCAATACGCCCACAGGCTCTCCTTCTTCAATCGTAATTTTTGAATCACTGAAGTTGAATACCGGAATGCGGTTGACATCAGATGACCCCACGACAGTTCTCGCCGGTAGCCATGAGTTTACGTGTTCCGATTTATCAATCACAGCGCACCTTAGAGGTAAACTTCCTTCCCTCCTCCTAGGTAATGCGATTGGTACGAGAGTCTGTGATTTTGGTTCAAGAACAGTTCTTCTTAAACAGCAAACTTTTCCCAGGGTTCCACCCTTCATCGGAATTTCTTCAGTTCCACATAGTAATACTCCAGATTTTAAGTCGATGTTACACTGGTGCCCTTGCAGGAAGTCAAGTCCCAGGATGCAGTCATCCAGAATTTTGGCCACAATAACCTCATGTCGATAAACACGTTCCCCAATTTTGATTGTTACATGCAGTTTTCCACTTATCGGTATGCACTGGCCGGTAGCTGATTTCATTCGTAGGCCAACAATTGGTTTAACGTGTTTCCTGATGTTTTGCCCGAGCAGCCGAACATTTATCACCGTCCTTGAAGCTCCAGTATCTAATGTTAGCTGACTGTTTTTCCCATTTACTTGACCGTCTATCACCAGAGTATTTCCATCGCTAGTTTGCTTGATGTAGATTGTTGGGGTTATTCCACTACCGGCCAGCGCCCACCCCGCAGCCCTGGCTGGATTTAGTTTCCCTGCTGGTCAGAAGTTGAGACCGCCGCGTCCTGGCGGTTCACCTTCTTCGGGCAGTCGCTCCGCATGTGCCCACGCTCTCCGCATCCATAGCACATGAAGTTCCGACGGCGTGGAGGTACCTGCTCCGTTGTCGTCATTTCCCGCAGACGTAAGGTACGGGAGTTACCACGCACGGCTTCCACTTCCAATGCATGGGCCAGAGCTTCTTTCATGTTCTTGTGATGGCCCAGATGAACAGCAGCTCGTACTTCGGGGTCCCGAACACCGTCAATGAATGCTTGGAGAAGCGTGCCTTCAATCATTGATGGAGTCGACCGAAAAGCTCGACGCACAAGTTTCTCGATTTCCACGGACCATTGCTGTAGACTCTCATTAGCACGCTGAGTACGCTCTTTTAATTGCGCTCTGTACACGTGCTCGAGGTGGCTGTCTCCAAAACGTGCCTCAAGTGCGTCGAGGAGGGTACTAAAGCTGAGATCCCCACTTGCGCCGATAGCTTCCAGCACTGAGAGCGCTTGATCACGGAGGGCCAGGGTGAGGGCTGACTGTGCTTCCTTCTGAGTCCAACCATAAGCCTCCATAAGTGTCTCAAACTGTAGCTTGAACGCGGTCCAGGATGTTGTTCCGTCGTAATGGGGAATCTTGAGCCCTTTCGTTGCGCTTGAGGCCGCATTTGGGGCGTCAAAAACGGCTGCAAGACGGCTTCGGCTCTTCAAAGGGCTTGGGCTTGTCATTTCCTGCTTGATTTTGGAGATCTCTTCTTCCACTCTCTCCTCTATGGCCATGACGCGATGTTCCAACTTGCCTAACCCTTCCTCCACTTCCTGTACCCGTTCGACAGCCTTTTGCAGTCCCTTCGTGAAATCCTTATGCATCTCTTTCAGCTCCCGTAGCTGCTCCGCCTGACAGTGTGCTTGCTCCCGTAGCTGTTCTGCCTGACAGCGTGCTTGCTCCTCTTGGCGGCGCGCTTGCTCTTCTTGGCGGCGCGCTTGCTCTTCTTGGCGGCGCGCTTGCTCTTCTTTCAGCTCCCGCAGCTGTTCTGCCTGACAGCGCGCTTGCTCTTCTTGGCGGCGCGCTTGCTCTTCTTGGCGGCGCGCTTGCTCTTCTTGGCGGCGCGCTTGCTCTGCCATCATTTGCTGCAGCTGTAGCAGAAGATCCACCTGCACAGGCTTGGCTTCTGCATCGCTGGTTTGAGCTGCAGCACCCTCTTCCCTCACACGCTGCGCTTCTGACATTGAACGGGTACTCACTCCTCTTACGTCCTGCGGCACTAGCGGCATTTTTCTCCAATCCCACTTCTGACACCAAATGTTACGTGCCTGACGTCACGTTCCTGACTATGCGGGCTTGGGTTACGGGATTGGATGAAATGAAACACTAATACCGGTTTTCAGACTTTCTATTGCACTTAAGTTACAGCGTCCACGGAGTTAAGTTATCGGCGTTCCTCTCCAGCAGAGTCCGGCCGACTGACACAACTTTGCCGTTCACGCTGACTTAACTCACTTAACTGACTGCACTTCACTATTTCACTGCACTTCACTATTTCACTCACTTTTCTTCTTTCTCACTTCTTCCTTTTCTTCCGAATCGCTTTAGACTTAGAACTCAACTGCCAGCGGTGAGCCGCAGTTCCGCTTATATACCCCCGGTCAGGTTCTAGAACATTCAATTTCGTTATTCTTTTTGATCGTCATGCCTCCAGAATCTTCCAATAATTTCGTTATTCATTTTTATTTATTCTTCTTCTCGCTCCTTAATTTTTCATCACTTTCACTCAAATATTCCAGAAAGTTCGACAAAACTTCCATCAACTAAAAAACTTCATGTTTACGGCGGGACTCGAACTCGGGGTCTCTGTGGTGTAATCCACACGCCTTACCGATTACACCAACTCGTGTTGACAATTCACGACGAAATTTACAATCTCTAGGCAACGTTTGACAACCATCCATTGACGTCATGATGTCAAAGAGTTTTCTGTCACAATATAAACATTTAAATACGCTGCAGTTGCGTCACCCTGCGAAAAAGGGACAGCGCTCAGCATATATGCTGTGCCTGGCGCACGCACGTACGAGACAACAGCGCTGGTTTTCAGCGCTGACCCGAGGCCATAGCCATTTGCCCTGTCACTGCGTCAAGTGTGTAACCAGTTTAGGATTGTTAATGGGGGGAGGGAGAGGGGCGGTTGGTGTCATCGGCAATGTTCATAAAAATGGCGATATACAACGCAACTGTTACGTATTTCACGCTGGTTGGTCGGTGAAGGCCACTCCGGGCGGGGTCATATTTTTGCAATGTATGACCAAATTCGAGACGTGTTGCTTGGACGATTGTCTTTAATTAAGTGTTTATTAATATAATGTCTTATAAACTGATCAAGTATATCGACTTGGCACGCGAGGTTGTCGACATGTGGGAAGTGGATTCAGCTATCATTGTACCGATAGTCGTGTCAGCCAATGGCTTAATAGCTAAGAGCCTCGACCAACATCTTAGGAAGCTCTCGTTAGGTGGCTGGATTAAGGGCTTGATTCAGAAAGTGGTACTCCTGGACACGGCTCGCATTGTCAGGAGGTTCCTTTCTCTGGAGCCCTGACCGCCGGTTGCTAGGACCCTGTTCCCGATACCGGTGGGACACTATTTTTTATATTTCTAAATGTTTTTTTTTATTTTCAATTTTGAAGAAATATTTAAAAATGTAAATTATATGTTTATATGTTGAATAAAAATAATGTCTTATGCTACTTAACGGGGAGAGGTGTCACACACACTACATTTTAAAGAGTCGCGTTTTTCAAAATGTAATGTTTGTACTTTTCAGAGATACGTGTAAGGAATAATCTGATGCCTGAAATATCGGAACCGATCACACTGGACAGCGATGACGAGCCAGATCTTGGTGAGGCACCATTTTTACTTATTACCGTCAAACCATTTTTTGCTTGGTCGGACTACCTGATGGTAAGCAAACAGCGCCAGTTATAGATACCTTTAATAACGAGGAGTTACGAGTGCGTTGCCCATCTTTTGCGGATTAGGGTTCTGGAGATTAGGGATTGGGAGGGGTGAAACACAACGTTGTGTTTTTTTATGTGATAGATAGGTGCATATTACCCGATGGTAAGCAATCAGCGCCGCCCATAGACATGATGGCATCAACGGAAGAGTTACGAGTGTGTTATGTTAAGGGTTTTGGAGATTTAGAGGGGTTGTGGAGTGATGGGGGGAAGGGAAGATTGAGGATTGGGTCTATAGTTACCTCACTCGTACGGCAAAAACAACGCTGTGGTTGTTTCACGCCGGTTTTCTGTGAGGCCGTGGTATCACTCCGGCCGAGCCGTTTGATTCGTGCCGAAGCATGGCCCTCCCACACTTAAATTTATGCGATAAGATTGCAACAGCAGTTCTATAATTGCTTTATTTGGTATGTGGTGTACAATAACGTGTATAAATAAATAAATAATCTTGTTCCAGGCTCACCTAGCCAAGCGTCCGACTCGCTCAGTTTGGACGAAAACCTTCGAGCTCTGAGACACATCCACGAGAAATACGCCAATATTGACAAAGTAAGTCTTTTTTATCTTTCATCTTTTTTTATGGAATGATGATGGTAATTGATCAGCGCCGCCCATGGATTCACTCACTAACCAGAAGAGACATGCGTGTTTTTACTACGCCCTTTTTAAGAAGAAGTACGCTCGTTTCTTGGAAGTTTCAAGGTCGTATCGGTTCGGAAATACCGCCGCCGAAAAATTATTCCAAAGTTTTGCTGTGTAAGGTAGACAGTTTCGCGTAAATCGCACAGTTATTGACTGCCATCCATCTATATGATGGAGATGATAATGTTTTCGCTTGGGCCTGTTGTGAAATTATGAATACTCTTACTGACGTAGGCATAATAAGATCGGAAAAGGAGGATCCTCCAATCAGGCAAGTCGATCATGCTTGGCGAGCTACTGTCAAACAGTTGAGCATTGAGATTTTCTATTCATCTTGATACAGGAAAACATAACATTCGAGTGTTGTGAATAACGCCATCTACCAGTGAAATTAAAAAGTACTTAGACTTTCGAGTCTAAGTACGAGTGTTGTGTATAGCGCCATCTACCGGTGAATCTTCGTACCACGTAGTCATCGTTTTTTTCTTACCTATGACTTTATCTTTCTAGGATGATTTATATGACACACACTTGTTGGCGGTGAACTTCAAAAAACCGCTCGACTCTCAAAGGAGGGATGAGGACGAAGTACTCTCCGTTAGAAGCTCGGAAGGTTTGTATCAATTTTTTACAGAATATTCTGAATATAAATTCTTAAGTTTGAGATTCCGCAGCGTATTGGTCATTTAACACTAGTCAGATTCTCTACTTTTTTCCTATTGGGTGTGATGTGTATGTAAAATTGTATGTTTGTAAACGCACCCACGATACAGGAAAAAATCCTAGTGTGGGGCATTGTTTAAATGCCGGTCATTTTGACCCTCTAAAGGTAGCCATTGTGTTAAAAATATGTTCTCGTCCCCAGGATGTGCCTCAGTCAAAGAGTTGGAGACGCGAGTGGAGAAACTGGAGGACAGTTCCAACTCAGACTCGGACAGCAGTAGTTCCGGATCCGGTGAGCAATGGTTTCTTTCTCAGAGCTCTTTGACTTTTGATGTTTGACGTTACAAACGTATTTGCATAGGGGTTTAGTTGAATTAAATGTTATTGGCTTTGACCTTGACATAGCCATTTACTTTGACTTTAACCTTGACATAGCCATTTACTTTGACTTTAACCTTGACATAGCCATTTACTTTGATTTTGACATTAACTTTGACTTTGACATTTACTTTGACTTTGACGTTTACTTAAATTTTGACGTTTACTTTGACTTTGGCATTTGTTTTGACTTTGACATTTACTTTGATTTCACCATTTACTTTGACATTGTCATTTACTTTGAATTTGACATTTACTTTGAATTTGGCATTGACCTAGACATTTACTTCGACATTTACTTTAATATTGATTTTCATCTTGACATTACCTTAATGAAACGTAAAAATATGGCGGTGCCGATGTCTTCTAAATTAATATTTTGACGTTTTATTTACTTGTGATTTTAATGTTGTTTTGACTAGTCTAGTTTACATTCGACTTTGACATTGACGTTGACATTGACTTTCGAAAATGTAATTGTATATTATTGTTTGATCAGAACGACGTCCGGTCCCATCTCAAAGCACATCTGGATCTCGTAATATCAGAAGCAGTAAGTCATCAGCCATCTTCTATACGTTAATAAATTAACTAGCTTCCGCCCGTGGCTTCACTTGTAGTACCTCTATATTTTTATATGTGGTAACACTCATCAGAATTTCTTTAGTTTCATTCTTTATATATGTATTACTTGTATTTCTTTTTTGTTTTTGAATTAGCAGACGGATCGCCTGATGGTAAGCAATCTGCGTCGCCCATGGACACATGCAACTCCTGAAGAGTAACAACCGCGTTGACGGACTTGAGGATTTGAAGGTTAGGACTTTGGGATGGTGGCGAAGACTGGGCCTCTGGTAACCTTAGTCACACAACGATGTGTCGGTTTCACGCTGATTTTTTTGTGAGACCGTGGTATCACGTCTGTCGAGCCGACCCTTCCATTCGTGTAGCAAAGCTCTGACATTTAAAATCAGTTTCTTCATACTACTTGATTTAAAGTTTTTTTTATGTAATACGTCGGCAAACGAGCAGACAGATTACCTGATGGTAATCAATCAGCGCCACCCATGGACACCCGCAACGGAGGAGTTACGAGTGCGTTGCCGACCTTTTAGGGATTAGGGATTTGGAGATTTAGGAAATGGGGAGGGATTGGGGAAGGGGAAGGATTGGGCCTCCGGTAACCTCACTCACACGACGAAACACAACACTGTGGTTGTTTCACGCCGGTTTTCTGTGAGGCCGTGGTATCACTCCGGTCGAGCCGACCCATTCGTGCCGAAGCATGGCTCTCCCACACTTAATAGTTAAATGTTGAATGGGTTCGAGAGCGCTCGATATACTTCTAGCTAAAACAGAGGTCATTATCATCAGCTGATTCGTATATCATGTGTGATATCCGCAACGCTAGAAAAGTTACAACCGTCTTGCCTTGGCATTTTAAAAAGGGATGCGCTCTTTGGTAGGGCGGCAAACGAAAAAACGGATGACCTGATGGTAAGCAATCAGCGCCGCCTATGGAACAACAACGGAGGAGTTGCGAGTGTGTTGCTAACCTTTTGGGGATTAGAGGTTCGGAGATTTTTGGATGGGGGGAGGGGAGGGGAGGAGATAGCTTCACGCCGGTTTTCCGTGAGGCCGTGGTATCACTCCGATCGAGCCGACCCATTCGTACCGAAGCATGGGTATCAAACACTTAATTTTTTTAATTCTTAATTTACAGGCAGTTCTAGTTCGGGATCCTCTAGTTCATCCAGTTCAGACTCGTCGAGTTCGTCTGATAGTTCTGATAGTGAGTCAGAATCTGCCGAAGAGAAACCTAAGACTGAACCACGGCCCGTCGTGAACCATCCTGTCAATGAGGATGATAGGTGAGTGGTAGATAGACCTTTTTATGCTTACAAGCGTGGTGATTAATGCTCAAACCGTCTCCTTATGAGAAAAGGCCTTTGCTCAGAAGTGGGCATTTATAGGCTGCTGATGTTTATATAGTGTATAGCTACTCTCGTGCGGTTTCACCCGCTGCTCGGCTCCATTTAATCGTAGCGTGAAGTTTTATAGCCTATAGCAATCAGGAACATTGTAGCTATCTATCAGTGTAAGGATTTCTACAGATCAGCGGTTCCAAAGATTACCCCCTACATACAAACTTAAAAATTTTACCTCTTTACAATATTAGTATAGATTAAACCCCCCCACCCCCCGGTCCATCTCCTGCTTTAGGCAGAGGCCGCGGTGACTTATTGCGCTTAGCCATCATGAACATCAGCCCTATAGGGCCCCGTCTGTGGTGGTGTATTGGCTCTTTGAGGCGCGCGCGGAACGCTACGCGCCGTACGCTCGGGCCTGGTTCTGGTCGGGCGGCGAGCTACCCTTACTCGCCGTCCGCAGACCAGCGATGGTAAATGGATCTAAAATACAGGTTGTTTGTTACTTTTAACGAGAGACATATTCAAGAAGCCCATTTTGGTGCTCAATTACAAAAACTTTTTCGGGTCCTTTTATTGGAGTTTCTTGCTCGTTCTTCTTCATTCGAATCTATGATTTGGAACGAGCACCTAGCTTCACTGACGAATACACAGACTACTATTCAAAAGTATTGCCTATTTATTGTTTAATTCTATACGAGGATGAAAGGTCGGGTTCGAAACCTGGCAACTACCAATGTGACTTTTTCCGAGTCATATGTACTTTCTATGATTATTTAGGCACTACTGATATAACTATGGTGAAGGAAAACATCGTGAGGAAACCCGGACTTATAATTTCGACACTTAAATTCTAATTATAACTTTGAAATCGCCAACCGGCCTTGAGCAAGTGTGGTGGTTAATGTTCAAACCTTCTTCGTATGTGAAGCCTTTGCTCAGCAGTGGGCACTTATAGGCTTATAATGTATATTTGTATAATTCTAGACAGCAAATTTCAAAGTTCGCTATTATTCAGATCATTTGGTGAATGGTCCAACAGCGGTGCGATGTCGGACACCGGGTCCGATTCGGATCCAGAACGATCAGCTGATCCGGCGGCGCCGAACTCGAACGACGAGATAAGCGAGTCGGAGAACGAATCTGCCGACAAAAGCTTCCAATGTCATATCTGTTCAAAATGGTATTCTACGAGGGTCACTCTCAAGTAAGTTTCGCCTTTTCGTTTGAATAGACCGCGGTCTTTTGGTCTTTTTGTTAGTAGACCGCGGTCTTTTGAGTAGTTGTTAAGTTTATTGATTTTTATTTATTTATTTTATAGAACAGTACTTAATTTGTATACAAATATTAATAATCATGTTCCAAACATGATGAGATTCACTAACGAACCGACAGACAGACTATTACTATATTTTCATGTTTCAAAACTACCTGTTAATGGTTTAATTGGAATAAATGCTTTGGACTATCACTCTAAATTTTAGAAATGGTCTTTTGTTTGTCACTATACCTTTATTATTATATTGTGTTTTACAGAATCCATCGTCGCGTCCATCAAAACCGCGGCGGTGGTAACTCACGGTCGCGAGCGCGTTCTTCAGAAAGATACGAATGCGACTGTTGCAGCGAAACATTTAACCGCCGCGAGAAATTATGGGAACACAAGTGAGTACGAAACGGATACCGTCTACTGAGTAGACCGTGGTCTTTTGTTGAAATGACCGTGGTATTTTCCATAGAAGATCTTAATGTCCAGAAGATTGTGTTATTTTGTCGAAAAGACCGTGGTCTTTTTATGAGAAGACCGAAGTCTATTAAGTATACCAAAAATTTGGAATTGATAGGGAGAAGGGGAGGGATTGGGCCTCCGGTAATCTCACTCATACGGCTTATTTATTATATATTTTTTATGTACCAGAGCGGAAGCGCATCGTGGCGCCATGACAGTACGGTGTGAAGTTTGTCGAAAATGCTTCGAAGATGACGCTGAATTAGCTGCCCACGATCGCACCCATACCGCAGATGAGAGGGCCGGTAAGTTCTTTTTTTATTTAAACCATTAAAACCATCTAAGTATATGCTGTGCTAATGCAGAGCACTGGTTTTCAGATGAAACGTTAAACGTTTTAAATTAACGAAATAACATAATATTTGCGTCCAAAAAAATTGAAATTTATGTGTAAAACTAGCTTCCGCCCGCGTGGGTGTGTTGATAGAAAGTAGCTATAAGTAGAAATAATAAATTTGAATTATTATTAATAAAATTTAATACGTCTAATTTTTAACCATCATCATCTTCCTGCCCTTGTCCCGTTTTATTTGGGGTCGGCGCAATATGTTTTTTCTTCCATTCTGTCCTGTCACCCGTCACGCTATCGCTAACTCCTCTGTCTTCCATATCACTTCTCACACAATCCATCCATATTTTCTTTGGTCTCCCTCTCCCTCTCTATCCATCCACATTTATACTCATGGCTTTTTTGTAACATGCTTTTCATCCCTCCTTTTCACATGGCCATACCAAAACAAACGGTTCCCTTTCAACTTTTCAGTCACTGGTGCCACTTTCAAACTTCCTCTAATATACTCATTTCTCACTTTATCCATTCTCGTCACACCACACATTCATCTCAGCATTCTCATCTCTGTTATCTGCTATCGCTTTTCATCCGTCTTTTTCAGAGCCCAACATTCTGACCCATACAGTAGGACAGGCCTTATCACTGACTTGTAGATTTTACCCTTCAACCTGAGGGGCATCCGTGGGTCGCAAGTAGTTCAACGTCTAATTTTTAACCACCGACAGAAAAAGAGGGGTGTTATGAGTTTAACGTGTCTGTCTGTCTTTGGCATCTTGGAGCCTGAACGGATGAAGCGGGGGGTCTCAAATGAAAGCGCACTGAAAGGGAATGTTAATGACTTAATCGAGGGAGCTCTTAGTAATATAAAATGATATGAAATACCTGTAAAAAGTATAAAAAAAATACTTAAAAAATCGCCGGTAGTCTAAGGTAGAAGACTATGGTCCCTTCAAAAAGTTAAAAATATAACAAAAGTACGTCGTGTTAGCTTAGCGAGCAACAACAAGGAGGGCAACAGAGGAGTTACGAGTGCATTACCGACCTTTTGGGGATTAGGGTTTTGAAGATTTGGGGGTTGGTGAGGGATCGGGGGAGCTGAAGAATCGGGCCTCCGGTAACCTCACTGACACGGCTAAACACAACGCTGTGGTTGGTTCACGTCGGTTTTCTGTGAGGCCGTGGTATCATTCCGGTCGAGCCGACCCATTCGTGCCGAAGCATGGCTCTCCCACACTTAAATCCACCTTCCCTAGTTCGAGTCGGGCACTCAGTGATGAGCGACTACCGACTACCGCCGTTATTACCACCGGGCTTGCTTTGTCACGTCGATGCGAAATTAATTTTGTTGCCCGGCTAGATCTCCTAAAGTATTTATTTAATTTGCATGGTCTAAAATAACAAAAAAATATTGCTGTATTTAAATAAGGACTGATTTTTCAATGGTTAGATAAAAGTTACCTGGGGAATAATTATGATGCTGTCGCGTCAGAATGTTTGTATAAGACAGTGACAGCAACAATTTTATTCCTCAGATAACATTTATCTGACTATTGCAAATTCTGCCTTTAGACTATTAAACGCCAAACGAAGGTTTAACGATAAAATGTCAGTCTGTCAGTCTGTCCTCTAGTGAAGATATTATGCGAAAATATTTTTTTATAACATCTTATCTACGTTAAATTAAACCTTGTTGAATATAAATCAAGAGATATGATAAGGTACTTGCCGTGTCGTGGTTGCCCGGAGGTTAAGCCCCTGCTCATGTATGAGAGTGCGGGTCCGATACCTGGCAAGTACCAATGTGACTTTTTCCTGGCTATATAATTAAAGTCAAAGTCAAAATCATTTATTCCAACCAAAATCATAAATAGGTACTTTTGAAACGTCAAAATAGAATAGTAGTCTGTCAGTCTGTTCGTCAGTGAAGCTGGGTGCTCGTTTTAATATGTAGATTCGAATGGATAAGAACGAGAAAGAAACTCAATCGTTACTCTTTTTAAAAATAATATTTATTTAGACACCACTGACAATACGCTGAAGGAAGAAGAAAAATGGGAAACCTGGACTTGTAATTTCTAATTATAAGTTTGAAATTCCCATACCGCCTTGAGTAAGCGTACTAATTCATACTAAAATTTAATTTTCTCCGTGTGAGAAGAGGCCTTTGCTCACCAGTGGGCACTTATAGGCTGATGATGTGATTAAACTGCATCATATAGAGTTCTGCCGGTCTTTGGTACGTCCTTAAACTGTCACCAGACACCGAGGAGTGGTCAGCAGCATTCCATTCATATATCGGTGACCTAAGCGATCCCCAAGCCGCCTGCCAAGCGTGGGGATTATTCCGCGCGCGCCTCAAAGAGCCAATAGACCACCACAGACGGGGCCCTATAGGGCTGATGTTCAGCCGGGGTTGCGGGGTAAGCGTAATGAGGCACCGCGGCCCAGAGCAGGAAAAGGAACAGGGGGGTTTATAGTCAGTAAGTGTCTGACTCTCTCTCCCGCCCGGCCCTGGGCGGGAGAAGTCACTTGATGATTTTCCCCTCACGAAAAGAAGCGTGGGGATTATGGCAACCCGCCCCATTTTCCCCCATGATTGACGCAATAAGCATACGGCCCCCAGTCCCCGGCAGCTCCGCTATTCCTGATCGAGGTAGCGGAGCAGGTGGTGATAAGAATCCCCAGAACCAAACAGAGGAACCGCTACCACTCCCGACGAACTTTGGCCCTAGCAACACACAACATCCGCACACTGAGGACCGATGAGAAGATTGTTTAGATGGAGGAAGAATTGAGCAAAATGCGTTAAGATATCTTGGGACTGTCCGAAATCTGAAGAGAGGATACGATGGTCCTGGATTGCGGCGACATGGTCTTCTTCCGGGAAGGAGAGCGAAAATCCTTGGTGTCGGATTTCTCGTCCACAAGTCCCTCATCAACATCGTGAGCAGAGTTGACAGTGTGTCGAGTAGGGTAGCGTACCTTATACTCAGAATAACAAATCGGTATTCGCTAAAGGTCATACAGGTATACGCGCCGACTTCGACGCATTACGACGATGAGGTAGACGCTCTGTATGAGGAAATATCTCAAGCCATACACACCTCTAATGCTCACTTTACCGTTGTGATGGGAGACTTCAACGCAATGGCGATGAGTTGAAAGTGGGGCCATTTGGATGTGGGCAGCGGAACCATCGGGGACAGCGCCTAGTCGACTTTATGGAGAGGAAGAGACTCTATCTGATGAACTCCTTCTTCCAAAAGCGACCTGCCAGGGTGGACCTAGATAAGCCCTGATGGAACCGATAAGCGTATATTCAGTGATGTCTCTGTAATAGCTAAAGTAAAAACAGGTAGCAATCACCGAATTGTTAGGGGCATACTGAATATCAATGTCAAGCTGGAAAAGTCACGTCTGGTGAAGTCAACACTCCGTCCTTGCCGCGCTCAGATTTGGAACCCCGAAGACTTTCAACTACGGACGAAATAAATAATGGGTTGGGGGAAACCGCTCGAGCAGTGGAATCGAAATTCTTTAAGACCCCACGCCGAAACAAGCCTCGAAAGCTCTCGAACGGAATATTAAAGCTCCTGAAGCACCGAAACGAAATGAGACTACAGTCTTCAGCCGATATGTCAGAGTACGGTAACCTCAATAGGCGAATTTAAAAAACCATGCGACGCGACTTGCGTGCGTATAATACTGTACGAATTAAGGAGGCCATCGAGCAAAACCAGGGAACAAAAGTCTCCGCAAAAAATTCGTCTGTTGGGCAAAGCCAAATAACGAGGCTGAAGACCGAGAAATTGAAGATTCTGAGAGAGCTCGAGAGGTCCTACAGGCAGTTTTATACCTCAACACGGTAACCCATTGTCGGAACCCAAGAGCTAAGCTGACACGACACTACACTGAGGATATCCCAGACATCAGTCTGTACGAGATTAGAATGGCTCTCAAGCAGCTTAAAAACAACAAGGTACCGGGCGATGACGGAATCACAACGGAACTTCGGCGAGCGGGTGGAAAACCGATACTTTTAGTCCTCCAAAAGTTATTTAATTCTGTCATACTCGAAGGTACTACGCCTGAATCATGGGAAAGGAGTGTAGTAGTTCTGTTCTTCAAAAATGGGAGATTCACTTTGTTGAAAAACTACAGACCTATTTCACTTCTGAGTCATGTGTACAAGCTGTTCTTGAGAGTCATCACGAACCGTCTCGAACACAGGCTCGCTGACTTTCAGCCTCCCGAACAAGCCGGGTTCCAGAAGGCTTTAGCACCATAGACCACATAAATACGCTTGGCCAGATTATACAAAAGACAGAGGAGTATAATCAGCCATTGTGTCTAGCGTTTGTGGACTATGAGAAACCTTCGATTCAATAGAAACCTGGGTAGTGCTGCAGTCTCCAGCAATGCCATGTCGACTGTAGATACGTCGACGTGCTTAGGTGTTTGTATAGAAACGCCACCATGCTCATCTGACTCCATTAAGACAGCACAAAACCAACTTAAATGCAGAAAGGCGTGAGGCAGGGAGACGTAATTTCTCCGAAACTGTTCACAAAATCATTGGATGACGTTTTCAAGCTCTTGAACTGGAGTGGCTTTTGCATCAATATTAATGGCGAATACATAACTCACCTGCGCTTCACCGATGATATAGTCGTTTTGGCAGAGTCGTTGGAGGACCTGAACACCATGCTCGGCGACCTCGATGCCGTTTCCCAAATGGTGGATCTAAAAATCAACATGGACAAGACGAAAATCATGTCAAATGTCCATGTTGCACCTGTACCGGTCATCGTTGGGAACAACATCCTTGAAGTTGTGGACCATTACACACACCTGGGTCTAATCATTCAGCTAGGTAAGTCCAACTTTGAGAAAGAGGTCGCCCGAAGAAACCAACTTGGATTGGCACCGTTCGGAAAGTTACACGATGTCTTCTCATCGAATATCCCACAGTGCCTAAAGATGTTTAATCAGTGTGTGATGCCGGTGATGATGTATATTAAGACATGGTCCTTAACTTCTGGCTTTGACCAAAGCGATGACGTTTTGCCGGTTGAACAACTTAGAAACACCTGTTAGTTGAATTGGTTGTAAACTGACACTTGCGTGCCTTTTTTCAGAATGGGTCCACTTAAACTGGTGTGGTTCTTTACTCAAAAGACCACTTCAGAAAGAAACTTGCACGGTTCTCTCACATTATTTTTCTTTCAAAATGTCTAGACTTGAAAAGAGATGGACCTCTGAGTTTGTTTTGGCATTTCTTCTCAGAGTAGTTCAATAGGAAATGACGGCTTTATGTAGTTGGAAAAGTTTTGTTTTATGATTAATTTACAAAAATGGCATTGTTTTATCGTTGGTGGTCCGATGGTCTTTTTTGTAAGGGGAAAATCATCAAATGACTTCTCACTTCACGCTCTTAATGGCTGAATGTCACCCTGTTCTTTCTTCTGCTCAGGGCCGAGGTCGCGGTGACTTATTACAATTGCCTTGCAACTCCTGTTGAATGTCAGCTCTATAGGGCTCCGTCTGTGGTAGTCTATTGGTTCTTTGAGACGTGCGCTAGGTGGTACGATGGTGGAAAGGATTTCTGAAGGTATTTGTTCCTCTGTCCGCAGGGCGCTGCCGTGTCTGCGGGCTGACGTTTCCCCGCTACGAGCAGTTGCGGCGACACACCGTGTGCGCTCACGGAGGCAGTAGCCGCCTGCCGCACGCCTGCGCGCAGTGCGGGAAGCGGTTCTCTCACGCGCACTCACTCACGCGGCACATGCACAACCATACCAAGCAACTCTATCGCTGCGTCGTGTGCAAGGTACGCCTTCTGTGTAATGAGACACGTATTATATAACATAGCAATACTTGTTGTTTCGGCTCATCATAATTGTATTGTCATGTTTCCAGGCGTCATTCGCGCGCGCAGACCAACTGGCCCAGCATCTAAACAGCCACCTCGCGAACTACAAGCGTCTGAAGCCCTGAGCAATATACTACGCGTTGGGAGCATGGAATATCGACACAATTATTATTATTATATTATATTAATATAGAGTTTTATTTACTCGCCACTTTTCATTTCTCGCTCACTCGACCTACCGCCCGATGACACCCGCCGCAACGGAGGAGTTACCTCCTTTGGGGTTAAGGCTTTTTGGCGATTGGGAGTATAGGGTGTTGGGGATTGGGGAGTTGGGTATTACAGTTTTGGAGATCTATAGGAATGGGGAGAGATTAGGGAAGGGGGACGTTTGGGCCTCATTCGCATTGTTGTACACAAAACCATTGTCATCATCCATCATTTGATGATTCCTGCCCCTCTCCCTCGCGTTCATCCCCAAAAGGGGCACGAGCTGTTAAGTATCCAGTAAGCAATTTCCGACATGGTCTGCCTGTCAGCAACGCACTCATTACACCTCTAGTGTAGCCGGCACCCGCCACCCGGTCTGATTCACTTCATGGTAAGCAATCGGCGCCGCCCATGGACACCCGCAACACCAAAGGAGCTATCAGTGCGTTGCCGGCCTTTCTAAGTTGAGGGATTTGAGTCACCAGTGCGTTGCAGACCATGTCCGAGACTGTTGAATGGATACTTAATAATATTTTCAGCTTGACCTCTTTAAAAAAAAAACACCTTGGTATGAGCGCTAAGATATTCTCCTGTGTCGTGGGTGCGTTTACAAACATACAATTTCACATACACATCATACCCAGACCCGGAACAACAATTTGTGGATCACACAAAGAGTTGTTCCGTGCGGGAATCGAACCCGCGACACGCGCCCGGCATCTAGCGGTCGACCGGTTATCAGTGGTGTCTAAATAACCATAGAAAGTACATATAACTCGGAAAAAGTCACATTGGTACTAACCAGGTTTCGAACCCGCACCCCCATGTATCAGAAGCGATGACAATGAATGTATTCTAGCAATATCCTTCCCCTCCCCCAATCCCTCCTAAATCCCTAAATCTCCAAATCCTTAATCCCTAAAAGGTCGGCAACGCACTCGTAACTCCTCAGTTGCGGGTGTCCATGGGCGGCGCTGATTGCTTACCATCAGGTAATAAGTCAGCTCGTTGGCCGACCTATTAAATAAAAAAAACACAGAGTATTTGCTGTACTCCAATGTCGAACTGTAGCACGTGCTAAGTCAACAATTCCTCGCACTGTAATCTCGCTTAACGATCTCCTGGAATCCAATCCAACTATTGATTTGTTTGCAGATGGATGGAAGGTAATTATATTGGAATGCCTGCATGGGGTACTGCGATAGGAACTTGTGAATGTTGTTATTTTTCTTGTTTTATATATTTATATGTAGGTATGTATTAACATAAATAAATAAACAAGTCTCAATGACGAGCGAGCGTCCTATTTTTTCTAACTTTCCTCCGAAAACCTAATTCAAATACAAATATTATTATTTTTTCCGAATATGGTAACTAATATATAATTATGTAGATCTTATATTATTTACCAAAAGAAACATTTTTATGGGACGGATTACCTGATGGTAAGCAATCGGCGCCGCCCATGGACACCCGCAACACCAAATGAGTTACGAGTGCGTTTCCGTCGGATAATTAAGGATTGGGTGAGGGGAAGGATTGGGCCTCCGATAACCTCACTCACACGGCGAAACACAATGACGCTGTGGTCGTTTCACACCGGTTTTCTGTAAGGCCGTGGTATCACTACGGTCGAGTTTGTAATAAAATAAAGCACTAGAACTAACAAATATAGTTGGCAAATTATAGACAAAACAATTTTGGATACAATCACTGCATTATTTGTATATTATCACTACATAGTATAAAACAAAGTCGCTTCTCAAAAAGTCAAAATCATTTATTACAATTAGACCACACTAGACTCTTTAAAACGTCAAGCAAAAAAGAGGAATAAAGTATTTCAAGAGCTTTAACATTAAGCGTGTCAGTCTGTCCTCTAGTGAAGCTATTTGCTCGTTCCAAAGTGTATATTTTTATAGAGAAGAACGAACAAGAAACTCCATGGTTACTCTTTTTCAATCAGTTTTACAATACAATTCTTTGTTAGATCATTTTTCTCTGTCCCTATGTATACTTACATCTTTAAAACTACGCAACGGATTTAAGAAGAAAGTGAAAACATTGTGACTTTAAAAGGTGTTCAAAGACTTCAAATAATCCTAGAACATGACACCTCACGTTTCCCAGGAGGTCAACAAGCATTAACGTGCGCGTGTATGTTAGCATCTCCCGGCGGGCCTAACCAATAACTCCATAGAACTAAAATTCAATGAAAATAACGGAAATTATCAATAAAATCATATGAGTGAGTCGTCATTTTCATTAAATTGAGAAAGTCTATTGTATCAAAAAAGGATCAGAATGAATATTTGTATTATTCAGGAGGTCCATCGGCAAGAGTTGGGTAAAGTGCTGCAACTGGCCGGCACTGGAGTCGATGTTCAGCTCTTCCCATGTAATGACTGGCAGCCACAGCACGGATATCGTCAGTCCACCTAGCTGCCACTTGTCTCGTCACAATCCTCCGTAGAAGCAGTGAATCTCTTCCATTTGTTGCTTGGTGGAGGGTGTTGTCCCCTTATTTAGCTCGGTCGCCTCGCGGTCGCGTCACCCAGCCGCCTGCCGCACGCCTGCGCGCAGTGCGGGAAGCGGTTCTCTCACGCGCACTCACTCACGCGGCACATGCACAACCATACCAAGCAACTCTATCGCTGCGTCGTGTGCAAGGTACGCCTTCTGTGTAATGAGACACGTATTATATAACATAGCAATACTTGTTGTTTCGGCTCATCATAATTGTATTGTCATGTTTCCAGGCGTCATTCGCGCGCGCAGACCAACTGGCCCAGCATCTAAACAGCCACCTCGCGAACTACAAGCGTCTGAAGCCCTGAGCAATATACTACGCGTTGGGAGCATGGAATATCGACACAATTATTATTATTATATTATATTAATATAGAGTTTTATTTACTCGCCACTTTTCATTTCTCGCTCACTCGACCTACCGCCCGATGACACCCGCCGCAACGGAGGAGTTACCTCCTTTGGGGTTAAGGCTTTTTGGCGATTGGGAGTATAGGGTGTTGGGGATTGGGGAGTTGGGTATTACAGTTTTGGAGATCTATAGGAATGGGGAGAGATTAGGGAAGGGGGACGTTTGGGCCTCATTCGCATTGTTGTACACAAAACCATTGTCATCATCCATCATTTGATGATTCCTGCCCCTCTCCCTCGCGTTCATCCCCAAAAGGGGCACGAGCTGTTAAGTATCCAGTAAGCAATTTCCGACATGGTCTGCCTGTCAGCAACGCACTCATTACACCTCTAGTGTAGCCGGCACCCGCCACCCGGTCTGATTCACTTCATGGTAAGCAATCGGCGCCGCCCATGGACACCCGCAACACCAAAGGAGCTATCAGTGCGTTGCCGGCCTTTCTAAGTTGAGGGATTTGAGTCACCAGTGCGTTGCAGACCATGTCCGAGACTGTTGAATGGATACTTAATAATATTTTCAGCTTGACCTCTTTAAAAAAAAAACACCTTGGTATGAGCGCTAAGATATTCTCCTGTGTCGTGGGTGCGTTTACAAACATACAATTTCACATACACATCATACCCAGACCCGGAACAACAATTTGTGGATCACACAAAGAGTTGTTCCGTGCGGGAATCGAACCCGCGACACGCGCCCGGCATCTAGCGGTCGACCGGTTATCAGTGGTGTCTAAATAACCATAGAAAGTACATATAACTCGGAAAAAGTCACATTGGTACTAACCAGGTTTCGAACCCGCACCCCCATGTATCAGAAGCGATGACAATGAATGTATTCTAGCAATATCCTTCCCCTCCCCCAATCCCTCCTAAATCCCTAAATCTCCAAATCCTTAATCCCTAAAAGGTCGGCAACGCACTCGTAACTCCTCAGTTGCGGGTGTCCATGGGCGGCGCTGATTGCTTACCATCAGGTAATAAGTCAGCTCGTTGGCCGACCTATTAAATAAAAAAAACACAGAGTATTTGCTGTACTCCAATGTCGAACTGTAGCACGTGCTAAGTCAACAATTCCTCGCACTGTAATCTCGCTTAACGATCTCCTGGAATCCAATCCAACTATTGATTTGTTTGCAGATGGATGGAAGGTAATTATATTGGAATGCCTGCATGGGGTACTGCGATAGGAACTTGTGAATGTTGTTATTTTTCTTGTTTTATATATTTATATGTAGGTATGTATTAACATAAATAAATAAACAAGTCTCAATGACGAGCGAGCGTCCTATTTTTTCTAACTTTCCTCCGAAAACCTAATTCAAATACAAATATTATTATTTTTTCCGAATATGGTAACTAATATATAATTATGTAGATCTTATATTATTTACCAAAAGAAACATTTTTATGGGACGGATTACCTGATGGTAAGCAATCGGCGCCGCCCATGGACACCCGCAACACCAAATGAGTTACGAGTGCGTTTCCGTCGGATAATTAAGGATTGGGTGAGGGGAAGGATTGGGCCTCCGATAACCTCACTCACACGGCGAAACACAATGACGCTGTGGTCGTTTCACACCGGTTTTCTGTAAGGCCGTGGTATCACTACGGTCGAGTTTGTAATAAAATAAAGCACTAGAACTAACAAATATAGTTGGCAAATTATAGACAAAACAATTTTGGATACAATCACTGCATTATTTGTATATTATCACTACATAGTATAAAACAAAGTCGCTTCTCAAAAAGTCAAAATCATTTATTACAATTAGACCACACTAGACTCTTTAAAACGTCAAGCAAAAAAGAGGAATAAAGTATTTCAAGAGCTTTAACATTAAGCGTGTCAGTCTGTCCTCTAGTGAAGCTATTTGCTCGTTCCAAAGTGTATATTTTTATAGAGAAGAACGAACAAGAAACTCCATGGTTACTCTTTTTCAATCAGTTTTACAATACAATTCTTTGTTAGATCATTTTTCTCTGTCCCTATGTATACTTACATCTTTAAAACTACGCAACGGATTTAAGAAGAAAGTGAAAACATTGTGACT